ATAAATTTTTTAGGCTTAATGAGTAACACGAAATCAAGCTGGTACCATTTTTCGATGGGTGTTGTGAGGGTGTTATAATCTTTCTCGCTCGTAACCGAACTCCCGAACTTCGTTCTGGTTGATAGACCCGAATCTATTCTTTTAGGAACCCTTAGTCAGGCTTAGGTGTTACTTGAAATGATAGATTTTTTAGGTGATCAATCGTACCTAAACAAAAAAGATTGATGATGACTCCTTAAGTTAATGTCTAGTGATAGATCCTCAGATCTAGACGTTATGACATTGGTAAAGTGGAAAATTCAAGTTAGAGTCATAAACCAAATGATAATTTCTTAGCAGAATTACTAAAATTAGCATACCTATTGTCGCATGGTAGAAAACTCATAATGGCTGGTTGCGATAATTGCTTTAAACATGCAAGGAAGGTCCCTTCTTGATTCTAATATTTTAATAAGGTTGACAAATGAAAAGAGAAAAAAGAAGTTAAAAGGCAACTATTAAGATCATTCAAACATAGCAAGTATAAATGATATTAAAATTATCGATAATTGAAGACAAATAATTGTGTTAAGCATATCATAATTGCATAGCACAAATCTATTGCTAAACCTATACCTAATTAGAAACTTCCAGGTTGCAAATATAATTATATCACAATATATTTGACAATTCAGAGACATCGTCTAAGAATCTCCAACAAACCCAGCAAAGTATACGATAGGAAGCTTACAGTTATTGGGGGTGAAGCAGTTCCATTTTTCTGGAGGACCAGAAATTTAATCGATTAATTCATTAATCAGTAAAAAAACCAACTGTACTATGGCAAACAGATAGATATAGTCACTGTACCTCTGACGCAGAAACAGAACATTTTCGAGAAGCTTTTCCCTTCAAGCGATTAGAGAAGCTTTTGGAGAAGCTTTGATTCCACAATTACCCCTCAATTTATTTATTTTTAAATTGCTTATCAGCCCTCTTTTAAGGATGCTGGGGATAATGTTTTATAGTAAGTTACAGATATTGATTTCTTGCTGTTTATTTTTTATCTCTTTAAAATTATTCAATGCTTTATAAACCGTTGAAGTTTGAATCTTTCGTTAGCTTAGCAATAGTCTACCTTGGTATATTATTCAATAATTCTAGCATTAATTTATTGAGTTTGCTTAAAATATAGAAGCCTGTCTTATCATGCATCAAAATAAAACTTTAAACCAGTAAGCTGGTCAAAAACCCAATCTAACTCAGGGCAGTAAAAAAAGCGAAAATTAACTTGAACCGTAGTGTTTAATATGATTGAGATCGGATTTTGATAAGAAATTATTCTATATTGTCAGGTAAAACATATTGTTAATTACAAAAATAATAAATTGTATCCGTATTGTAAAGTTCTCTAGATGAGACTAAAAGAAAAACAATTTCCGGGGTCAGCCAAGTTAAAAACGATTGTAAAATAGCTAGATTCCTCGACCAACCGCTACTTGTATTTTGTCAAAGACCTACAATAAACCAACTATTATAAACAAAAAAATATATCATTGTCGAAAAGGACTGAACAATAGGCAATTGAAAAGTATCCTACGTCTACATTGCCCTACCTATTTTTCCTGCTTCAATGTTTCTGGAACTTAAAACAAAACAAAACAAAAAAAAAAAACCTTAAACCATTAAAACTTGATTCTCACTTTTAATTTAAAATTTCGGATTTAGATATCGAGATTATGAGGATGAAAAAGAGGTTTTTTTTTTTTTTTTTTTGAACTCTGTATATTCTGTATACCCAAAGAGAAAGGGTGGGTAGACTTAAACTCGGGATTTGGTCAAGTCTAGAAAGGTTGGCCAATGTTGCCTTTAGTAATTGTTTTTTTAAGGTTACTTTATGGTAAAAAGTACTATATGAATATATAATTTATTAAACAAAAGCAAAAGTGAGACCTTTGAGTACGTTGGAAAAAGGGGTCCTTTCCACTTTCTGAAAGTAGTGGACATTTTTTATTGTTTTATTTAAAAGTAAGTATTGCACTTTTAATTAAATTTATTACTAATATTTTAAAATTATTTTTATTAATTAAAATTTTAAAAATATTTTAAATTAATTTTTTATTTATTTTTATACTTGTTAAAATAATTAAAATTTTAACATTAGAGCCGAAACAACCCTGTCATCCACCTTCCATATTTCAAAAAAAAAAAAAAAAAAAAACCAACTTTTGTTGACTCTGACCGATGACTAAAGGACTCTACAACCAACAGTCGTCTCTTTCCTATTGGTATATATGCTATTGCCAAACCTTTTTTTTTTTTTTTTCTTGTTACCAAATTTCTAACCTAAATTAGATTCTTTTAAGAAAAATAGAAAATAAAATTGAAACTAAATGAATCCTTTTTTACTAGCTTTGATTAGTTATGTTCTAATTAGATGTTCAAAATTTGAGGAACAACTTAAAGAAACACCAATTTTCCACCTCAAATTTAATTTATTTTCAACATTCATAATTATGATCATGTTGAAATTGATGTTCTTTAGCTAAAGTTTTTAGTATAATATTTTATTTTTTTATATATTACATTATAAATATCACTTTATGATTAAAATAATATTCACAAGGCCAATAAAAATTATTTTCAGAGTGCGTCTAAAGAGACCTTGAATCAATTATGTATTAAAGAAGTTGGTAGATAATGAAAGTGTTGCATACTTGTAATTGGATTTATATTAATCCTCATTATTATTCTCATGTCCTTTTTGCAAGGATGTAAGCAAAAGTACCTACCTTGAACTTTAAACAAGATTATTTTTTACGCAAAAAAATAAATTTTATTTTCCCAACAAGCATATCCATGTCATATTTGTCTTAATTAGTCTCTGAAACCTTGATGATTAGATGAAAACCAATATTAATAGTCTCTCAACTACCGATGCAATGACCAAATTTTGATAAGAAATGTCAACTAATGTTTCACAATACAAACAAAAATAGAAAAATATATAATTTCTCTATATTATAAAAAGAAAAACGTTATAATATAGAGAAATTATAACGTTATAATATAGTGAACTGTTAGTTCAGTGTTATTCAAATTGGTTTAAAATTTGAGCCAATAGCCGTAAGGCAAAAAGGAAGTTTTTTTTTTAGTCCAATAATGTAACTATCAAGTCCATTGCTGGCAGATACAAACCCTTATAAAAATACCATCGACTGCCTTTAGTCTTTATCTTCCTTTTTACTTCCTTCTTCTGCAATTCACATAAGTTGTCTCCCTGGAAAAAAGATATGTCAAGTCAATATCCCGACGGCGGTGATCCAAATGGGTGGTTTGGTAATCACAGTGGTGGCGATGACGATGTTTCTTCCACGACCATTGTTTGGATCGTGGCAGGAATATTAATAGCTATTCTGGTACTGGTAGTGGCCTATTATATGGCAAAGAAAGGGAAATCCTTTGGTTTGTGCTTCTCCTGCAAGATTGAATTTGGCCACAGCGACGAGGGTCAGTCCAAGTGTTGATTTTAATATTTCTCGACTCTGCTTTAGCCCAAAATTTGTTAGAAAAATAATGATTTACTTGCATGCTTGTAGCGTTTCTCAACCGTAATTTATCTCCTACATATGTCTTTGTATCGCTTTTATTTCTACTTCATATAAGTTCCTACTCTCGTCGATTTGTAATGTTTAATTGTTTTAAGAATCTAGCTCTTTGATCAATGTGACAGGCAGCAAAAGGAAAAATTATTCTGTATCGCTCTCAAAGGAAATATAAAATCTTTGATTTCTGTGATTTTTACAAAATATGCGAGTGAAGGAAAAAACAACATTGCCGCCCAAACTGTAATTCGTGCTTGTCTCTTCTCCCTCATCACTTTTCGATTGCTCTTTTCATGGTTTTTGTTTCCACAGCTCGTTACAATTACTTTTGCCAAATTCTGCACATTCCAATCTCTATTTTTACCAAAAATGCTAAGTGCATCATTTCTCTCCTCCTATTAACCATATTTACCTTCTGACCCAAAAAAAAAAAAAAAAATCATACCCATCTTTTGAATCGAAATTGTTAGAGATTAAAATTTAATTAAGACGAGTCAGGTCAACCCGTCAACTCATTATGCAATATGCAGCACAAAATTCACGATGTTGAGAAATATTTTGAGTGTGATTGAAATGACAGTAAACCTTGACGAAATCTCTATTACCGCTGCTGATCTGAAAGCAGTATGCATGATTTTTCTTTTTCAATCATATAAATCCATGTAACAATTATGCTGACTTTGCATGTTAATATCGTCATAATAAATAATAAATTTATGAACATTTATTTGTTATGAATAATCAAACCGTCCAAAATTTAAGTGTTTCTTAACAAAATTAAATAATACTTTGTTGACTTGACCTGAAAATGATTTTTTTAAAATTTAAAGTTGTTTTTTTTTTTTAAGCATTGAAATTAAAATTTTAATATTTTATTAACTACCAACCGATCACATCACAGTTGGCAAACGAATTTCTAATTGAATGATCCACTATTTGCACCCACCATGTGAGGCAATCTCTTTTAACACTTTAATTAGCGTAGAAATCGAGTTATTTTAATTTTTATTATCAATAATTTTATTTTTTTATTAGTTATGGAAAAGTCAGAAACAAAATACATTATTATGATTATTGTTTAAAATATACTTTTTAACATGATAATTAACATTTCGACTCAAGAAAATTTTCTTCATTTTTGTAAGTTTTTATGAAATTAATTAATAAATTATCATTTCATATCAAATTTAAACTTCAAAACAAACTTAAAAAATATTCATATATAAATTTATCATTTTATTTTTTATTTTTTAAAAATATATTTTAAAATATATATCAATCTTTTTTCTTAATTATAACTAAAAACTTTAGCCCAAAATAAAAAATTGTGGTAGTGCAAACACATCGTTTGAGTTGAGCCCAATTACTGATAATGGTCTTGGGCTTAACTTATGCCCAAAAACAAGCGATAAAAACCTTGATCTTCCTCCTCTGGATTCACGACTCTGGTTGCTTGCTTTGGGACGTTGGGTAAATAAAGGAAATTAAAAGGAGAAGAATGATTCGAAGCCGGTTGCTTTGGTTCACCTTGGGGTTTTCGGTGACAGCAGCTTCAATCTCTCAATTCATCTATAAAGACCTCTGGACTGATCGTTATGCCCTTAAATCTGATGTACTAACTTTTATTCTTTCCCCTTCGGAATTTGGATTCTCTGAGTATTTGGTAATTGTTTCAGTACAATCTGATTCAAGTTATTTCTTTCTTTTTTAAAAAATTTTCAGATGAAGCATAAGTTTGATGCACTAGAAACTAGAGTGTCGAATCTGGAATCGCTTCCCCCGGAGAACCCTAACCCTGCTCAGGTACTTTCTTTTTTTATTAGTATTTTAATTATTTGTGGATTTTATAATTGATTAATTAGTTAATTAGAGCGTTTTCTTTCAAGAATATATTTTTATGTATTCCTATTATATCCAAATTTGCTATACCTTTTGCAAATTTATTTATGAGTTATGACATTATGAATTAAAAATAATTTAATTCTAAGAAGGTGAACGAAATTTGGTAAAATTTCCATGCAACTTCTCTTCATTGTTTTGGACATTATTTCAATTCAATATGTTGATGATTGATCAAAATGAAGTGGCTATAGGTAAATTGCTTGTGTCCAGAAATTTTATTAACCGTAATTTGTGAATTAGACGCCACGCGATGGATGTAAGAATGTTTCATTATTTTGATAACTGAAAATCCTTTTGCAAGTGTGGATTCATGATCCATAAGATACCTTTCTTTGTGTAGCTTAAAAACCGATAAACTTCTGTAAATACCAAAACATAAAGATGTTAGGATTCCCGGAATTGCATGCGCTGTATCATGTCCAGTCATGAAAAACGACGTTTTTCTGCATAGATTAGTACTAATAACATTTGAAAAGTGCCGTGCATCGAGCTTGAGTCGAAGTTTTATCTCAACTTGGGATTAGAGTTCACTCTTGTTTTCTATCCTTTTTTTTTTTTTTTTGTTATTGCTGGTCCATTGGCTGGGTAAAACAGCAGTATTGCCTTTCATGAATCTCTGCGTGGGTTCTTTATTTTGATGTGAAATGATCTTAACAGCTAAGCTTGCTGGCATATTCTGCGTAGGATAGGGAACTTACTCTTTAGCTATAAATTTAGAATGAAGTTTAGGGAGAGCAGGACAAATTTTCACCTGAAAATGGTTGAGGAGCATTGATCGGGCTAATGTGGGATTTTTATGTAGCTCAATATGTTTCTTATTTGTTCTGTTCCCCAAATTAATTAAATCTTTTGTGGTGGTTTGGCATGAGAGAAAATGATTATTTGTTCTTTCAGAATGGTTTTGTTCTATGCTCTTCCAAATTCATTGATGTCTATAAGCTGTTTGATCTCATCTTATTAGTTTTCTTTGTTGCAGGTTGAAGGTTAGGTTTTATATGAAGCTCGGATAGTTTTTGGTTTGAGTCTGACTTTATTACTCAATGTATTTGGTTTTAAAACAATGAGTCAAAGTAAAAGGAATAATTTACTTACATTCATTTTGATATTTTGAGCAACGTTATGCAGTGTGAATAATGTTGTATTTTGGTAATTCCTTCACACATTTTTATGATATAGTAATATTGTCACCAAACCATCCAATTTTGGTTACAAATTCATGAAATTACTCAACTGGAGCTATTTTCAAGGTATTAATCACTCTGCCTGTTGCATCTCTGAGAAACATCATCGGCCATCCATTTTGTGTGAGTCCAGCAAACAAGTGAGATGGCTGCCTATTTCCATCTCTATCAGTTGAGCCATCTCCTCAGGCAAAATGCTCCCTACCATCAAATCTCAGTTCAACCCGTCCCCTTCTTCCAAGAATACATTTCGTGCTAGAATCAGTAGCAAACTTTCTTGCTACGCAAGCTGATGCAACCACAGTTTTTGGGAGTGGTCGTCACTCAACGGTATCTGAATAATCTATATCTACTGCAATTATTTTCAACAATTGAAATGCGACTAGGATTGACTCTTGTTCAACCATTATACAGAACAGAATTTTCATCCACATGACTAAATATTCACAGGCTACACGGATTAATAGTTCCTAGAACCAATCAAATTAAAAATGATATGAAACATGAAATGGAACATGTTGCATTCTAATTTATCAGAAATAACACACTTAGAAAACATTTTTAATTTGACAAAACGACTCCACCGCAAGTAACTGGTTTATTCCCTTTCTTTTTCCTTCTTTCCAGATTTGAATTGAGAATTCCTAGCTCGAGCTAAATGCTCAGAAGTATCATCAGTAAGCCTTGAATCATGATTTTATCTGATGGGATGATCGAGGAAGGATGTTGTTGGCCAGTTCTTCATTTACCTTGACTGGAAGTGGAGGCATTTGTTTCATTACCTCTGGCAGGTCATTCATGCTGCCAGAAAAAAAACAAAAAAAAACAAGAACTCATTAAACATTGAAGAATGTACGGAAGATGTACAGTACACATTGTTCTATGTCCAATTACAATGTACTATATTATTCCCAGATTAGAAGATATATATATATATATATATATATATATCTGTCTGTGCAAATAGGAGGCGTCTTAAACCTATTCACTTCATCAATTATTAAGTAATGAAATTTCCTACTAATTAAGTGAAACTATTTCAAAAGTATTGCGTTTAAGCTGCTTTTTCATGTTCATAATTTCCTATGAAGGAAACTGATTAAGTTAACAAACCTGAAACCATAGTGATGATGACAGCAAGAATACTATTAATGGTATTGCAGACAAGTAAAAGATTCCATTATCACCTTAAATGTACTGTCTTACAGTACAAGACAATGAACATTCATAAACTTGCAGTCATGAAATAAAAAATGCAACAGTGAAAAATAATGTCCTCTAATTAACAATGAAAAATCTCTATTTTGGAGATAACAAAGAAAGCATAGAGGTAATAACATACTCATTCAAGATTGTGAGGATGTTGTCCCAGGCTTTACATAGGAGATTTACATTATCATGTATCTGCAAGGAAAAAAATAATAATAACTATCAATAAAGAAGGCATATGTAATTAGCTAATAGGGAGACAGCAACTGTCAAAGCTACAGTGGTAACAAGGTCAACCAATCAGATGGCTGCAATCAATAAAAAACTTCCATTGTCATAAAGTGCATTTAGAAAGAAAATTGACATTATCTTACCAGGTGCCAAAAAATAAGAGTTACATATTAACTATTGAAGATTCTAAATAATAAAAGAAAAGTAATTTGTAATAATGGGACATCTGCCAGTTTTCTGCATAAGAATTGCATAACAACTAATTATTAGTTCCATGAACCAGAGAGTGTTGGTGCCTTCTCATAAAATCAAATTAGTTCATTTCATTAAGTTGAAAATTCTTTTTCATTCTATTATTTTACCATGTTGCCACTTTCATTCAAAACCACAATGACAGTATATAAACAAGTGCATGAATACATACATATATATATATATATATATATATATATATATAAAATAGGGGAGAGATCCAGTTACACCAAAAAAGTTTTATACCTTTTAACACATTTTTCTAACTATTGATTTCAATAAATACAAGACATGATACTAAACCATTTTTTCTTTTTTTTTTTGACTTGTCTTTCTCATTCCTTGGATTTATTGAAATCAATGGTTAGAAAAAGGTGTAAAACTTAAAAGTTTTACACTACTTGCCTCTTTAGAATAAGCTTTAAAGAAACATAATAGAAAGAATTCAACTCCTATGAAATACAAAGGACTTATTTGATTAGACATAAGTCTTGAGAGAGAGAGAGACAGATGATCACTTAAAGCAAACTGCAGCAGTAGCAGTAGCACTAATGAATGCAAAATTAGAAAATAACAGCTCATAAGAATGCCAGAGCAGATGTACATGAGCAGAAAATTTATTGAAACCATATATTATACCTGGAAAGCTGCAAAATTTGCAGAAATCTGATTAAACATTTGAGCATTTTGTTCAAGCAGCTCTCCCGTCACACCACCAATGGCTGAAAAGACATTCAAATTAAAAAAATGTACAAAAAGCAAAATTACTATATTGAAATCTCAAAACATTTCACACTAATCATGAATCTTCTCTTTTATCAGTTTTCTGTTGGTAAATCTTAAACCCAATCTAAGGTTCATGCTTCACAAGGTTGTTAGCTCCAAAGAATGTACACTACTTCAAGCTCTAAGCTTGATCAAATTTAATAAATTTAAAAAGAAAAAAACATAACCAATTGTCTTTACTCTGATTGAGCATAAAAATTACAACTGAAAGTTTCTCTTCAGCGGTAATTTTTATATAGGTAAAAAGGTAAGAGTCCTCACTATATATGTCTTAACCAAACCTTTGTATGGGATGCCATCATCATTGTCCATAGGGATAATTGGTGGAGCATATGAAGGACCATTAGGCCTGGTTAAATGAGATGTAGACTTTGCCAAAGAGTCTGTACCCTTTTCCTGTGAAACAATGTCCTTATTAAATTGAGCTTTCAAGAATTGAAGCAGAGAATCTAAGAAAATAACCAAGATACAAAGATATGAACTGCATAAATATGAGAGCTTAGGAAACTTTTAATGGGAAGGTGAAGCAGTTTCATCACCTATCTGAGCTTAAACAAAAAGGGCTAGAACCTAGAGAAAAACACCTAAAACCATCCAGAAATTTCTCAAAAGGACCCAGAGAATTAATTTGGACACTCATGCATCTGTCAGGGTTGAACATACTAGGAAGTAGCCCTTCCCTGAGATAGGGCAGGTTTCAACTTTCAGCAATATCTAGTTATGCCCGAGACTTAATGCTTAATTTATCTGATAGTCAGTTAATCATGCAACAGAGACACAGTGGAAATTCCATAATCATGTTACATATATGGCCTACTTATGTAACCTTGATTTATTATCTAGTTACCATCCTGCCTCTTGACTATTTTCTGGCACACCTTATTTCAAGACCAACATGCATATGTATTATGTAATAGAGAAGGATGAGAATATGACAAACACAGGAGTGCATGTGTTAGATATTTATGCATTTCAAGCAACTGTCAAGTCAAGAATGCCAAAACACGCCATCTTCAATCATAGGTAGAAAAAATTCTTTGACCACAGAAAACAGATCCAAAATTCATATATAGAATAAGAAACCACTAAAGTTACCACAGGCCAGGCAATTTTGTTCAAGAAACAACCATATGGAATGAACTTTCTTCTGAAGACATATTTCAAGGAACCAAACCAATTATGAAACATAAAGCAGTGTCAAAATACATTGCTCAAATCAAATGTACTGGCGTAAAATTTTTGACAAACATACCCTTCTCTCTTTATTTTTCCTTGCTGAATTATGATCCTCTTTCCTCCGTTTGCCATTTTCCTTTTTCTGCAAACAGATTCAACTAGGTGATTATTTAGCATACAAATACAAGGTACATTTATACACATATTTGCTACACAATTACAATCAAAATGATTATGACACATTTTGCACACATTATGCCATATATAATTCCACCATAAAACTACAAATCATTATTTTTCCTTTTTAAAGATAGAGATGCTAAAAGCCAAACTCGCTATAGAACTTTTGCAAGATGACAAAGAACTTAGAAAAGAATATAGAAAAGGAAAAAGCATCCATCAATAAGGAGGAAAAAGAAGAATTTGTTGAAAACCTCAATCATACCCTAGTTATATGGAGTCAACCTTCCAATCAGCTAAACAAGGAATCCAGCAAAGTCAGTCACAAACCCAATTATTAGTTAAGTTATTTATACATGACTAATGATCCACGGTCTATGTAATGGCATTGAAGAGCATTGGGCATCTTAATGTTCACTGCTATCATACACTGAATTTTCAGTAGAATCTTACAACTCAATGTAATTAGATTTTTCTTTTTATAATATTATATGAATATAGTCTAAAATTCATTTCTAACAAATGTCTACGACAAATATTAAAACTGGTATTTAGGTTAATGAAAATGCAGTTTGCGGCATTTTATAAATATCAATTAGACATTAAATAAGCTTATAGGTAGTCCCAACCTCATTTTAATAGCCCCTTCTCTATCCCATGGTAAAGAGTACATGTCAAACATATCAGCTTTTGGTTTTGCCTCCAATAAAACAGGATATGGATCCCCAAGAACCACCAATATCAATTTTAATAATTACCATCTGGACATTTCCTGCACATAAGATTCATTGCAATGATAATAGAGTCATAAGCCACACATCCCTGGCAACAAGAGAAAATAGGAAACCCTTGTAATTTTATAAACCGAAACCCAAAGGAAGACAGTTTTGACCAATTTCCAAATAGAGTTATTCTCTCTTTTTTTGCCAATCACATTTGGGCCTTTTATTCTAAAGAACACCACACTGTTGCAAACATATGACATTTCCATTTATTCACACCAGTTCTGCATCAAATGAGAAAAACTAAACCCAAGACATTTAGGCATGCTCCAACTAACTGCAACCATTAATACTCACAAATGAAAATTTTAATTTGGCCAAATGAAAAAATATTATGCTCTCAATATAGATCATTTAAGAAAGAAGATTAATAAAGATATAACTCTATGACCACCAAAGAATTAGAGGCTTCTTAATCTTTCTCCTGCAGCAGCAAAAAAATAAATCTTTCTCTATGTTGCATAAAACTTATGCCATTTATTTTCAAATTGGTAAGCTTTGAACATAAGTGATAACACCAATAAGCTGCAAAGCCCAAGTATAGTTAAGTGCTTGTTCACCTATCTGCATTAAATCTCAAATGAACATACATGCAAATATAGACAGTTCATTGGAGATGCTATGCAAACACAAGATCTCAAGTTCACCTCTTAGCGTCAAAGGAGTTGCATCTTACTGTGGCATATCTACAGATACCTGATTATTCATCCTCAACATCTCTTACATTCATTTATTATGTTCAAAAAAGGTCTAAAAACTTCTTTGTAAATATACCGTTTTATGGATCTAATTTGAACCATCTCAATTTCATTCAAAGGGTAAGCTTAGCTTATATACACATGCACATGCAGAACATGCATGCATGTATTGGTCAGTGGATCTTAATTTTTAATATTAATCAACTCATAGAAAGTTGGTTATAAATATAGCTCTTTTACAGGATGACTCACCATGCACAAGGAATTCATTCAGAATAAGTGATAATTTGTGCACTTATAAGATTTGATCGATTAAACATTTCAAACACGAAGTGATAACCATGTTGATGAGATTACCTCTAAATCCCTTCATGACAAGAGTTTTGGGGTTTGAACCTCTGATTGAAGGATATAATAATAATTTTTAATATTAAAGTTAAGAAATTAGTCTAATACTTAAAGAACAATACTTAAGTTGAATCCCTCAAGGAAGAATGATTCTGGAAGCCAAAATTTAAGGTCAGTAATGACAACAAGGTAGGGAACAATGAGAATAACAAGGGTATGCAATGAGGTTTTGGGGTAGGCAATATAGTTTCCAGGGATTTTTATAACTGTCCCCATGTTTCTAACAATTTCTAAATTAATTATCAAAGTGAATGCTGACTAGTACAGTAATGTGAAAAATGCTTCCAAAATTAAGGTGTTTTTTGGCTGAATATTTAAGATTTATGTAATTGCTAATGATTTTAAGATTAGTACCAGAGAAAAACACCTTTTGTTAGGATCACTTCACAATATCCAAACAAAAAACATACAAGTTTACTGGAATTTGATAAACATGTTTTCCATCAATTAAGAAGGTTACATGCATATATATAGAATTCTTGTAAACCTAATCCTACAAGGACTCAAGATCCAATATGGAAAACAGAAAACTAAAATATTTAACTTTAAACAAGAAACCATAGCTAGAAGACCAAACAATATTAAAAAAGGACACCAAAAGAAAATAAAAAGATATTCCTGAACTACAGAAACTGCAAAATCTAAAAATTGTGAAAGTACAGAATATTGATGACTCATACAAATAAAGAAAATTTTACTACCTGCAACCTCTTCCCCTATCCCCAGGTTGTGGCCTCCTTGGTACCAAAACAAAAGAAAGAAAATTCACTAAAAATAAAACCTGCTAGTTCCTAATAATTATAAAAGAAAATTGAAACCTAATACAACTACTTTGGCCTATGTAAGAACTTAGGCATCTAATATGATTCTTGATTTTCTTGACATTTAAGCATGACTTTTCTTGATTCCTTGGTTGGCTGCAAGGCTAGCGCCCATACAAGTCACAAGATTTAAAATTATGAATGAACAGAAGGGAGCAAAATTTTAGTAAACTTGAACAAATGCAATTCTTTAACCGAGAGTTTTAAACAGAAACTCTAGAGGTCCAAGTAATGAAATGTTTGATCCAAGATAATCAAATCATTAAAGTTATAACCAGATAAACTGCTTTGAAGGAGCTGGACAACTTATGGAGTTATACTTATCATGAAATCCTTCATGCTGTTTTCACCCAAAAAAAAACCCTCATCGGTCCCAAAGCTTCAATAACATACAATTTTAAGTGATCAACTTACAGTCATCCATCTACAACGCAGTGCAACGTCCCTAACTGTTTTGTCCTTCAACTGCTTTGCGATCTTAGCATAGCGAACTATTGTTGAATCAGAGGCATACCTGCAAACAGCGATATCACCATACATATATATCTATTAATTGTGCAGCCTTCATTTATCAAAGGCAAGTGAAGAAATAAACAAGGAAAACAATAAGGGGCACAAAATAATGATCTGGAGAAAATCTTTTATGCCCAAAAATCAAGCAGGAGAAAATACATTATTAATTGCTGGCACATTAATTTAGTGAAAACAATAAACATGAATGGAAACAGAAACTACTATTTCTCCAGCACGCAGGCCGATTTAACTAGAATCAGGACACAAATAGTTACATGTTGGAAATATTACTCGTCAAAGCTTTCTGTCTACAACAAAAAGAAATTTCTTTGAACTATACAGCAACATGGTAAAAAGGAAGCCTGTCCATGCATTTATTGTTATAACAATGCCAGAAATTAACACATCCTGTTCGACAGAAAGCTTCAACTTGAGGTTTAGAACATCGGAAATATAATTCATAACTACTCATGCTAGTGCAACCCAGTTGTCCTAACCAACCATATTTCCATTCCAGCCTTGCCAAATTTTCTGGAACAACGTTTTATCGTCCATCTTATAACACATAACTAATAAGAGTAACTAGTCACTTAAATGGAGAATCCGTGATATTACACGGTAATTAGAAAGAAATGTCATATCATAGTTTGCAAAATGTTCTTCTGTACCAAGAACTCCCCGTTTTAAAAGTACGTAACAAGACTGGTTTATTAACAGCTACCTAGATAGATACAATGAAATACATCTGAGTAACAAAGAAATAAAGAAAGAACAAAAGTATCTCTTCATTTTCCTCAAAACTACCCAAAGTATTTACATCAACAAAGAAAATAATTTACTTTACATCTTAGCATCAAGTATAAGAGTTGAAAATTGATATCATTAATATGGCCTTCGATGTTTTTACCAACCTCAACTAATTTTACTATCCTAAGAAACCTGAAAACAACATATATATATATATATAAGCTAATTAAATTAGCACAAATTGAAAAAAATTGGTGAGTAAAAGTTACAGAAAAGTAGCAGAGATGAAAGAAACCAAAAGATAAAATAAGTAAAAAATTAAAGGGAGAAAGACGGAGAGGGTTACTTGGCGAGCAAATCGTCGAGAATCGATTGTTCATCGGGAGTCCAGTCGACGGAGATGCCAGGGTTGTGCCTCAACGCGGACTGCGTATCAGTCGAGACAGCGGCGGCGGCGGACGTATGGGCCCCGCTGCTATTCGAATTGACGGAAACGCCATTGGCTGGTGGAGGAGAAGCCGTTACCTTCCGGTTCGAGGAACCTTCCTGATTATTCCCCGTGGGATTCGCACTCGCAGCCATTAATAAAAAACAAAAGAAAAGAAAACAGCTCGAATTCTAACGTTGGAGGTTTGGAATTGGAAATTTATTTCTTATCTGAAGTAATTATGAAATTAAACGCATTCGGACAAAGTTAATTAATCAGGAGGGGATGGATTCTTGCAAAAGGATTAGAAAGGAAGGAGAGCAGTCTTTTTGGATTGAAAGCAAAATATTTTTGATTTGTTTTCGCCTTTTCCTGAGAGAGTAACAGATTCATTTGGCCCGATATTTTCTGCCGATTGGTTAAAAAAAAAAACCATAAAATTGACAATTAGTCAACCTTTTCAAAATCCAAAATTGAAAAAAAAAAAAGCAAAAATTTAAAAGAATTGAAAAAAAGTTTTGAAAGAATTTTTAAAAAATAAAAAATAAAAAACTCTCTTAAAAAATCCAAAAATCTAAATTTAAAAAAATAAAATAAAAATCTTTTAAAAAATTAAAAATAAAAAAATTATAAGAAAAAATTTTAAATATCTCAAAATTTTTAAAAATTAAAAAAACTAAAAAAAAAATAGAAAATGTAAAAATATTAAAAAATCTGACAATTTTTTAAAAATTAAAAAAAAAGGAAACTTAAAAAAAATCCTGAAATTTTGAAAAAAAAAAACTGAAAATTCCAAATATGAGTTTTTTAATCTTTTGGGAAAAATTGAATTTCACATTTTTTTTGAAATTTTTACAATTTTTTTCAAGATATTTTTTAATTTTTTTTATTATTTTTATTTTGACTAATTTTTTTGAATTTTTTATGGTTTTAGATTTTTCTCTTTTTTAAAATTTTGAATTTTTTCTTTTTAAAAAATTTTTGTATTGAGGGTAATTTTTCAATTTTATATAAATTTTTTATTTTTTTATTTTTTAGATTTTTTTTATTTTTCATTTTTTTATTTATTAAAAAAATTTTAGATTTTTTTGTTTTAGATTATATTTTCAAATTTTGAGATTTTTTACGTTTTTGTGAATTTTTTTGAATTTTTATTAAAATTTTCACTTTTATTTTTTGTATTTTATATTTTTTAATTTTTATTAAAATTTTTAAATTTTTATAATTTTTTAAAAATGTTTCAAATTTTTTTATTTTTTTAAAATTTTCTTTTATTATTAACGTAACAATTGATAATATGACATCAACTAAACTTTTTTATACATGTCAATAGCTTAGCTCGAAATACCAAAGTGATGATAAAATGAAAGTGAAAGTATTTAATTGTGAATTTTATTTTTTAAGTACCAAATTGATAAAAAAAATATATAATACATATGCCATTTTTGTATTTAACCCATATTTCTCATTTTTTAAGCTGTTTAAGATGTTTCTTTTGATATAAATATATATAGAACGTTAAAATCTAAATTTGCCACTGGTAGATACTAAAATTTATCATTGTTTTTATTTTGTTCCTAGCTTTAAATCCGTACGATACATGGGATATATTCATTGATCAACAAATTTATATATAATTTTTTTCTAAAATGATAATATAAATTTTTAAGTTTATGAACAACTCAAGTTTTACATTTTTATTGAGTATTTCATTTACAATTCATTTTACTACAATTTTATAATTATCAAATCACAATTCAAAATTATATAGAGTCCAACACTTATAAATGTAAGTTTCATATTAAATTTTAATGAATTTCACTCAATTCTAAATTATAATTGAATGATTGTATGTGAAATATTCTCTTTTTTAATTTGGATTTTGTATATTTCAATATAGTCAAATAAGTAAATTATACATTGGATATAGTTATGCAATTATAAAAAAATTTAGAAACTCAAATTATAATTTATTAAATCTAAGTAATTTCTAAGTAAAAATCAATTATGTCTTTAATTTCAAGGAATTGAAAATTTTGTCGTCTAAAAATTAATTTTTTGTACAAACTTTTTTCATTAAAGATTCTTTCATAAGTAGTTGTTAGGGCAAACATCTAAAAAATAATACAAAACAATTAAATTAATTGCATTTATTTATTTTTATTTATATTAAATCACTTTCAATTGAATTCATATAAAAAATAAATTTTAAAAATAATATAAATTAATTAAATGTATTTATTTATTTTTATTAATATTAAATCACTCTTAATTAAATTAATATAAAAAGTAATAAAACTTCAATTTTTATCATTAATACTAGTATAAAATATTATAATTTTAGGTTTGAATTTAACAAGAAATTTTAATTATTGGACCAAATCAATTTATAAATGATAAATAAATAACAAAATTTTAATTTTTAGATTAAATCAATTTATAAATGACAAAAAAAAATTATTACACATCAAATAGAAAGAATGCTTTCTAACTATTAAAAAGAATAAATAATATTATTTCTTAAAAAATGAAATAATATTGATCTAATAACATATTTATAAAAGAAAAGAAATAATAGAATTTTATTTATAAGACAATCTTAGATGCTTTTGAAATTCTATTACTAATCAAAAACCATTTTTATAACAAAAATTTATATTTTTCATGAGTTTATGTTTTTATTTTTCTTCAATATTTTTTGTTAACTTCAAAAGGTATTTACCCAAAAAATGATAGATTTTATTTACCTCTGCAATTTCTCTTCATATCTTAATATATAACAAAATGTATATATATTGAACAAAATTAATTAAGCATTCCAAAACGGCGACAACCTTTTTGTAACAAATATATAGTTGCGGGTGCATTCGATATATGCAATCCAGAAAGGAGTAAAAGATGCAAAGAAAGCAAAGAATTGGTTGCTTTTTGAAAACTTATTTTAATATAAATTTCATAAAAATAAATAATAATTTTTAGTGTAACATATCATGTGTACATTTTTACACTTGAATATCAACATTATATTTTATTTTATTTAAAATTAATTTTAAATATATTAATCGAATATTTCATTTCCATTAAATGTGATCCCAAAAACATCAATAAATAAAAATACAATGGAAAATATCAATAAAACTAAAGTATAATGAAAAATTTCAATATTCACTCATAATACAATGATAAATTCACCCTTTAACCCTCTATATATATTTCAGCAAAATAGTTGACATACCAAGCCCTAGTTACTGTATAAAAACATATACTCCTGATAAATATATGAAGTATTTATATGAAGAAACAAAGAAAAAAATAAAACAGACAAAGCAAATTCAAGGGAAAACTAAAATAAATTTTAAAAAAATTGATATCTGAAGTATATAAAGGAAGTTGAAAGAACTAATTAAAAAATAGTATGTCTTTTCATTATGAGTAAGTTTTATTTAATTTTTTTTATCGTCATAAAATTTATAATTAAAATAATTTATATTTAATTAAAATAAGAGTAAAGTGTGTAATTAACCTTTCAGTCAACCATAATTATATATATATATATATATTTTATTATTATTTTGAAAGAAGAGGGATTGAACGTGATCATTGAGCTCGCAATATATGTAAATATCATTGAATCAAATTGCTTAAGAGCTAAAAATAATTATTTCATACTAGCTTATGACATACACACTATGTGGATGGAAAATAAAATAAAATTGTCGCATCCTAGAATGAAAATTTTACAAATGATTCTGATAGAGCTTAATATAGACTTTTTTTTTAATTCGAAAAAAGAGATTCAAATTAACTAGGATTGAAATCGGTAATTACAGGCTTTCTTATTTCTTCCTAAACAAGAAGATACATGCAATTATGCCCTTGAATTGGGCTACAAGTATTTTATACAAACAAACCTATCAAAATCATGCACTATAAATTAAGTATCCAAATGGTTTTTTACATCAAGTAAATTTTAAGTATCTTAAGAGAAAAAAAAAAAAAATGGCCCGGACAAAAGTTCTATCCTTTGTCCTGCTTGCTGTCCTCCTCCTATCCTTAGGTATGTCACACTCTTCTCAAAACAAATGTACAAACATGTTAAATTTTTTTAGGTAAGGATCCTCCTGTGCTTTAGTTTACTGTCTTTTTGGGTGCATATATAAGATATATTTTCATTGGAATTTCTTTCAAGTTTCATCGTTTTTCATAAAACATGGTTTCATAATTTCAAAAAAATTAAATAATTAAAATACATATAATTACATGATTTATTTCTACCATAATTCGCACATATTTATTTAATTTTTGTTATAATACATGAGTTTTAATTCAATAATCGATACATGTATTTTTACTCGTAAAGTAGGATTCATTTTCTCTCGACTAAAAAAATAAAATCTGTCGCATTCGAAATTAACAAATGTTATGGAAGTTGTTGGATAAGGAAAATGTTGCAAAAACCATCCTAGCCTTGGTAAATGTGTGCAGGAAAAGACGATGATCCTAAGAATAATGGCAAATGCTGGGCGTTTTGTATAACTGATTATGAGAAAGGGGATTTTTGCAAACAAGTTAGTGCAGGTCACCATGAGTGTCATTGTTATTGTTGATTTTAATTGTTTGCAATCGGAGAAATAATAGAAAAAAAAATACACATAAACAAAATTGAGATGATATTTTCTCAATTTTAAATGGAATAAAATGATATTGAAACAGTCTTATTTCTTTATTCTTATTTATCTTTAACTTTATATTTTTTTTATTTTGAAGGAATTGTGGGTTTATGATTATTGTTGAAATAAATATTTAGAACTAAAACTAATCATTGAAATTAAATTTTTTTATAATTGAAATTAAAAATTAATATTTTACTAATAGATCACACTATCAATAATAATTTAATATTTATTTTCTAATTAATTTAAAATATTAAAACTAATTGTGTTTTTTTTTTTTAAACGAAATGCGTTAGTGTGCATAACAATAGGACGACTAAAGCAAGATATTTGTCCTTGGAGCTTCATAATAAAAACAGCATATAAGAGTAAAATATAATGAAAAAGATGGCAAATGCTACAAATATTGTATCTCGGATTGTGAGAATAGGAGGCAGTTTATGATTATTATTAAGTTTATCCATCCATCCATCTATATATTCAAAATTAAACTATAATCATTAAAATTAAAAATATAATATTAAAATCAAAATTATTATTTTACTAACAAATTATGCGATTAACTTGAAATATCACTTGAAATTTTTTATTAACTTAATATCATGATTAACTTTTTTTTTTGATAAAATGTAATAGTGTCCGTGCTTAATTAATGGTAGGGCGAAAGCAGGACTTTTGTCTTTGGGATTTCCTAATAAAAACTTATAAGAGTAAAATATAATGAAAAGAATCTCTTTGATAAGTAAAAGCTTTTATGAAAAAGCTTGGTGTTTCCCTTTGGTCGTTGCTTAAAATTATTTGAGATTTGCAAAATCTGCATTGCCTGATTGCTTAATGATTATGTAAATAATGTGATTCTAGGGTTTGGAAGTTGTAAAATTTTAAAATTTCACTGCATTTAACTTGACAGTTATATGATTAATATTCTCAACATTTTTCTTGACCGTAATAATTTCGTAATATTTGTTGATCAGTACTAGTTTGTTTGATTAGAATTTTATATTTAATTTAATCTCATAAAATAAATTATTCATAAGAAAAATAAATAATCATGTTATTCAATTATGTCTTCCATGCTAGAGTTTAAAGTTGGTAAAGTTGATCCTAAATTAAAACTAAACCAACTTAATTTGACAAATAAATGTGAATAACTTGAACTCATTCAATTCAAATTTGAAAATATTTCAAACTCAAAACAATTTAAATTTAGAATGATCCAAATTCAAACAACTCAAATAACAAAATTGAAATTAAATTGATTTAATTTTAAAACTCAACAGTTCCAAAACGGTACATCCAATATGATTAGAATCTAAAATACTTCAAAATAAATCGAAATTTCTTCATTCTGAAATAACCCAATCTAAAGCAACTCAATTCAAACTCCTTATCCTTGGAATTGCTACCTCTTTCCATCTTTAGCCAAACAAAACTTCACCTTCTATAGTTAATCATAAGAAAAATATAAAAGGTACTTTACAACCTACTCGTCCAAAAGAAAAAGTAAAAGATAAACTAAAACATGATAACGAGTGAACTCGGCTAGAACAACATTAGAATTTAGAAGTTAGAACTTCATACTCTTAGCTTAAAAATGAAAAAGATAAATTTTATGAGATAAGAGAGTATAGTATTTGTAATACCAAATCATGTAAAAAGCATGAACATAAATTATATATGTTTATATATGAAATAAATTTACATCTAAATATTTAATTCAATAATAGGACGCTCAATCCTGAGGAAGTTGCTGCCATTCGTGCAACGTCCATAAGCAAGATAGGGAGCCCTGACACAATATATGGAAACACGCAAGGAAAGGCACCTATACGGTTAAAAGTGGCTACCACGTTCTGACCAACTAAAGAGCTGTCGAGGAAGAGGCGGGACCAGGAGAGAATCTAAGCAAATACCGATGGAGTCGGATATGGGTTGCCAACATAACCAGTAAGATCAAGGTTTTTGCTTGGAGCCTGAAACACAACATACTGCCAACCATGCAAAATCTAGTTCGAAGGAGAGTCGCTCTTGAAGGAAACTGCCCGAGATGTAGCACAGCGGAAGAATCTCTCCTTCATGCAATCAGAGACTGTAACAACGCTATGAAGGCACTGCATATACTAGGGTTTAAATGGGATGAGGAAATACATTCATCATTGCCTTTAGCGGCATGGTTTGACAAAGGGGTGGACAACTTCTCCCAAGACAGATTTGAGATTTTCTTGATAGCTGCATGGGCGATTTGGACGGGGAGGAATGAGGAGCTTCATGGGGGAAAAAAGTGAAGCGCAGCCCAAACAGCCACGTTCATAGGATCATACGGGGAAGAGTTCATGAGTGCACAAGAGAAACGAGAGACGGGCATGCAGGGGGACTAGCGATATGGAGACCACCAACTAGCAGCTCGGCCAAAGTAAACTTTGATGGTTCCTACAATAGGGATACCAGAAAAGGGGGGATTGGGGTGGTTGTCGGGGATGTTGAAGGAAATGGTTCTTGGAGCGTTGGCCATGAAAAGAATAGAGATAGCAGATCCATGGATGATTGAAGGAAAAGCAACACTGGAAGCTCTCAAGTTTGCTAGAGATCTGGGACTCACAAGGATATTATTAGAAGGAGATGCCTTAGAGGTTATACAACAACTAAACAGCCTGGAGCAAGACCTGTCTGCGATCGGCGCGCGTTACAATTGAGGAAACGCAGGTAGTGATGAATCTGTTCTAGTCAGGTCATGCAGTCCATATTAGAAGAGGAGGGAATCAAGCAGGCCATGCCATGGCCAAATATGGATTAAATTTTGATGAGGATACCTAATAGGTAGAAGATAGCCCTGATTTTCTTTTACCTATTATTCAAACTGATTGTAACCTGGTTATTGATTAATGAAAGTCCATTTCATTAAAAAAAGAATACGTTCAAAAGGGCGAAATCGAATCTCCCTTCTCTTAAAAGAAAAAAGAAAAAAAAAGTAGAGTATTTTAAGGAATATGAGTTTATAGGAACGATATGAACATGATGTCATATTTCATTCTGCAGCTTGCAATTATTCATTCTAGTGCTATGATCATCATTAATTCATTTAAAAAAAAAAAAAACTTGATGATTCATATGTTTGTATCATGTAAAATATTAAGCTTTATATATTTGTACCGTATTTTATATAAAAATTACATGTCAAAATTTATATTGATACAAAAATATGAAATGTGTTTTTTTTTTTTTTTTACTTTATATTTGATATCTTTTTTTAATATTCAAAATTTAATTTTTAAACAAAATTTATAATACCAAGTGATATGTAAAATGGCATAGTAATATCACGTGATGAATGTTATATGATGTGGAAACCACATTAATAAGCTGTTAGTTTTTAATGATTGAGTGATCAAAATAAAAATTTACTAAAACTTTAGTAATTAAACATGTAATTTACTTGCATTGGCTGCATTAAATATAATTTTCGCATCACAATTCACAAAAATTAACTTTTTAATTTTGATCATTAGAGAAAAAAAATCTTAAATTAAATTTATTGTGGTAAATTTTTTGTAAAATTTTGTGGTAAATTATAATGATATGTCATAATGTATGACACGAAAGGTTTACTTAATAATTTTTTTTTATTTATACATATTTAGCAATACATTTTTAGAAAAAAAATTTATTTAAAGAAATATTTGTCTGTTTTGCAATTTTGTTTTGTTGTCATTTTTTTTAATTAATCAAAATCAAATGGTTGAAATTCATCCTTAAAGATAGAAATAAAATATTGGCATATTGCACCCTAGAATGAAACTTTTACAGATGATTCTGATATTTCTTAAAATAAGACTTTTTTTTTAAATTGGAAATAACAGATTCAAATCCATTAACTGCCAATATAGGATACATCACTCAATTCACCTACCATTGAATCATATATTTTGATGCATTTTACATAGACAGTTGACATTTCCAAATTAGCTAGGATTGAAATTGGTAATTACAGGCCACCCTTGCTTCCTAAACAAGAAGTACATGCAATTATGCCCTTGAATTGGCATATAAGTAAATATTTTATACAAGGAAACCTGTTAAAATCAAACATTATAAATTACACATCCAAATGATTTTTTACATCAAGTAAATTTTGAGTATCATAAGGGAAAAAAAAATGGCCCAAACAAAAGTTCTATCCTTTGTCCTGCTTGCTGTCCTCATCCTATCCATAGGTATGCCACACTCTTCTCAAAAACAAAATGTATAAACATGTTAAATTTTTTTAGTTAAGGATCCTCCTTTGCTTTAGTTTACTGGTTTTTTTTTTTTTTTTGAGTGCATATATAAGATATATTTTCATTGGAATTTCTTTCAATTTCATCCTTTTTCATAAAATATGGTTAATTTTCACGGTTTCAAAAAAAAATTAAAATGATCAAATAATTAAGATATATGTAATTACATGGTTTATTTCTAACATCATTTGTACGTATATATTTATTTTTATTATAATATATGTATTTTTAATTTAATAATCGATACATGTATCTTTATTCGTAAAGTAAGATTCATTTTCCTTGTCTCGACTAAAAACTAATATTTTGTCTGAATTTACAGATGTTATGGAAGTTGTTGGTCAAGGAAAATGTTGCCAAAACCATCCAAGCCTTGGTGGATGTATACCAGGAAAAGACGATGATCCTGAGAGTAATGGCAAATGCTGGGCGTTTTGTATAACTGATTGTGTGAAAGGGGGTTTTTGCAAACAAGTTAGTGCAGGTCACCACGTGTGTCATTGTTATTGTTGATCTTAATTGTTTGCAATCGGAGAAATAATAGAAAAAAATAAAAAATAAACAAAATTGAGATGATATTTTCTCAATTTTAAATGGAATAAAATGATATTGAAACAATCTTATTTCCTTGTTTTTATTTATCTTTAACCAGTTTATTTTTTCATTTTGAAGGAATTGTGGTTTTATGATTATTTTTGAAATATTTATTTAGAATTAAACTAGATCATTAAAATTAAAATTTTTCATCATTGAAATTAAAAATTAATACTCTACTAATAAATCGCGCCATTAATATTTATTTGAAATTTGTTTTTTAATTAACTTGAAATATTAAGATTAATTTTTTTTTATATTTTTGACGAAATGTGTTAGTGTGCCTAACAGTAGGGCAAAAGCAAAACTTTTGTCTTTGGAGCTTCATAATAAAAACAGCATATAAAAGGAAAAATATAATAAAAAATGGCAAATGCTACAAATATTGTATCTCGGATTGTGAGAACAAGAGGTTTATGATTATTATTAAGTATATATATATATATATATATTTATAATTAAACTTTGATAATTGAAATTAAAAATTTTATTAAAATCAAAATTATTATTTTTCTAACAAATTCCATGATTAACTTCAAATATCATGATTAACTTTCTTTTTTTTTAATAAATTGTAGTAGTGTACGTGTTTAATAGTAGGGCGAAAGCAAGATTTTAAAAATGTAAGTTACAAGATTTTTAAAATTATTATCAACATTTTTCTTGACTGTAATAATCTTGTAATATATGTTGAGTAATAGTTCGTTTGATTAGAGTTTTATATTTAATTTAATCTCATAAAATAAATTATTTATAAGAAAAATAAATAATCATGTTAATTATTCCATTATGCCTTCCATGCTAGACTTTAATCCAAATTGAAAATAATTCCAGTTTGAAATAATTAATTTAAATTTAAAATGATTCAAATTCAAATAACCCAAAATATAAAATTGAAATTAAATTGATTTAACTTTAAAATTCAATAATTTTAAGGTGATAAAATTTTAAATAATTTAAATCTAAAATAATTCTTTTTTTTTTTCATTATGAAATAACCCAATCTAAAGCGACTCAATTCAAACTCCTTCTCGGTCGAATTGCTACCTTTCTCCATCTTAACTTCAACTTCTATAGTTAATCATTAAAAAAAAAAAAAAAAACCAGTGACTTTACCACCTAATCGTACAAAAGAAAAAGTAAAAGATAAATTTTATGAGATAAGAGATGATAGTTTTGAAATACAAAATCATGTAAAAAACATGAACATAATTTATATATTTTTAGATATGAAAGAAATTTACATCTAAATATTTAATTCAATAATAAGTATATATATTCACAGTTCATAAGAACGAAATCAAATCTCTCTTTTCCTAAAGGAAAAAAGAAAGAAAAAATAGAGGATGTTAATTAAGGAATATGAGCTTATAAGAACAATATGAGCATGATTTCATATTTCATGCAGCAACTTGCAATTATTAAAATTTTGTGGTAAATTATAATGATTTGTCATAATGTTTGACATGAAAGGTTTACTTAATAATTTTTGTTTATTTAGACATATTTAACAATACATTTTTAGAAAAAAAATTCATTTAAAGAAATATTTGTCTGTTTTGCAATTTTGTTTTGTTGTCAATTTATTTTAATTAATCAAAATCAAATGGTTGAAATTCATCCTTAAAGATAGAAATAAAATATTGGCATATTGCACCCTAGAATGAAATTTTTACAAATGATTCTGATATATCTTAAAATAAGACTTTTTTTTTTTAATTGGAAAGAAGAGATTCAAATCCATTAACTTCCAATATGGTAACATCATTCAATGCACCTACCATTGAATCATATGTTTTGATGCATTTGACATAAACAGTTAACATTTCCATATTAACTAGGACTGAAATTGGTAATTACAGGCCTCCCTTGCTTCCTAAAATAGAAATACATGCAATTATACCCAGAAATTGGCATATAAGTAAATATTTTATACAAGGAAACCTATTAAAATCAAACACTATAAATTACACTTCCAAATGGTTTTTTACATCAAGCAAATTTTGGGTATCATAAGAGAAAAAAAAAATGGCCCAAACAAAATTTCTATCCTTTGTCCTCCTTGCTGTCCTCATCCTATCCATAGGTATGTCACACTCTTCTCAAAACAAAATGTATAAACATGTTAAATTTTTTTTAGTTAAGGATCCTCCTTTGCTTTAGTTTACTGTTTTTTTTTTTTTTTTTGTGCATATATAAGATATATTTTCATTTGCATTTCTTTCAGTTTCATCGTATTTTCATTAAACATGGGTTTCATGGTTCTAAAAAAATTTTAAAATGATCAAATAATTAAGATATATAATTAAATTATTTATTTCTAACATCATTTGTCCTTATATATTTACTTTATATTGTAATATACAAATATTTAATTCAATAATTGATTCATATATCCTTCTATTGATTAAAAAAATAATATATGTTGTATTTGAATTCACAGATGTTATGGAAGTTGTTGGTGGAGACAAATGTTGCAAAGACCATCCTAGCCTTGGGGAATGTATACCGGGAGTAGACGATGATCCTGAGAATAATGGCAAATGCTGGGCGTTTTGTATAAAAGATTGTGTGAAAGGGGGTTTTTGCGAACAAATTGATAGTGCAGGTCACTTTGTGTGTCATTGTTATTGCTGATCTTAATTGTTTGCTATCGGATAAATAAGAAAGAGAAAAAAAAATATACATAAACAAAAATGAGATGATAAATTCGCAATTTTAAATGCAATACTAAATGATATTATAACAGTCTTATTTCTCTGTTCTTATTTAACTATTTTTTCATTTGCAAGGAATTGTGGGTTTATGATTATTATTGAAATGTATATTTATTTGAATTAAATTAGATCATTGAAATTAAAATTTAATATTTTATCAACAAATCACACCATTAATGTTGACTTGAAATTTGTTTTCTAATTAACTTAAAATATTAAGATTAACTGTGTTTTTTTTTTTTTTAACACAACACGTTACTGTGCCTAACAGTAGGGCTAAAGCAAGATTTTTGCCTTTGGAACTTCATAATAAAAACAGCATATAAGAGTAAAATATAATAAAAAAGATGGCAAATGCTACAAATATTGTATCTCGGGTTGTGAGAACAGGTTTATGATTATTATTAAGTTTATATATTTATTTTTATATATATTCAAAATTAATATGATCATTGAAATTAAAAAAATAATTATTAAAATTAAAATTATTATTTTATCAATAAATTATATGATTAACTTAAAATATCACGAGTAACTTGAATTTTTTTATTAACTCAAATATCATGATTAACTCTTTTTTTTTTGGATGAGATATGGTAGTGCACGTGTCACGGGTCGAGACTCAAGCTTCGAATCCGGGCGGCTCCGGGACCCGGGCATTCACCCTTCCGGCATCCCAGATCAGTCTTCCGTCACGGTTCACACCCTTATGAGGTATTGTCCGCTCTGACCCCCCTGGCCTCACGGTTTTGTCCTATAAAAGACCCCTCACAAGGCGGAGATGGTGTGAACCCTTTTATACCCCAGGGACCTTCTTATTATGTTCGATGTGGGATTCAAGACTCCCCCTTAGGTCCGTGACACACGTGCATGGTAGTAGGGCGAAAGCAAGATTTCTGTCTTTGGGACTTCTTAATAAAAACATTTAAGAGTAAAGTATAAAGAAAAGAATCTCTTTGATAAGTAAAAGCTTTTGTGAAAAGGCTTGGCGTTTCTCTTTGGTCGGTGCTTACGACTATTAGAGGTTTGCAAAATCTGTCTTGCCTGATTGCTTACATGATTATGTAGATAATGTGATTCTAGGGTTTGGAAATCATAAAATTTTAAAATTTTGCTACATTTACCTTGACAGTTACATAATCAATATTCTCAACATTTTTTTTACAGTAATAATTTTGTAATATATGTTGACTAGTAGTTTGTTTGATTAGAATTTTATATTTAATTTAAACTCATAAAATAGATTATTCATAAGAAAATAAAGGCTTAATACTCAAATATATTCTCAACCTTTTATATAAAATGGATTTAAGCCTTCAATGTTTTATTGTATGCAAAGTAGTTTATATCCTTTTATTTTTATAAAAATAAATTTATAAGCTTTCAAATTAGTATAATAAAGTAAGATTTTGTTAAATTAAACTAATTGTCATTAGTATTAGATACATATTATCTAATGCAAATGATGATGTATAATAATCAATTTACATTGATAGATTACAAGGCATTTTTATTAAAGTAAGAAGAAAATGGTAAAAAAAGTGCTCAATTAAATAAAGTGCTTTGGTCTAAAAACAATCTAAAAGTAAAAGTTAAAATTTTTGGAAAGCAAAAGGAAAAAAGCAAGAATTTGCAAGAAGCAACTTAGTGGCATGTTGTTTTCAATGGTAGATGTCGTAACGATTTTGGGACCATTCGACGGATTTGAAAACGAAAAAAAAAATAAACGAAAAAAATGGAGTTGTCACCTATCTTTTTTGGTTATGTATGATTAGTCAATTATTAAAACGTATTATTTTAATAAAATTTTAAAATTAATTAAAATTTATTAAAAAGATAATTTCAGGATCTACAAAATAGTTTGAGTATAAGAGTCATTACACATAGAGTAGAATTAGCACCCCTACGACACCCATTTAGAATAGTACAATTAATTATATGTTATTCATTAATCTTGACAAAAATAATCTTAATTTCGGTGTTTAAAAAATAATTTCCTTGAATTCTTTTGTTTACTATAGTTTTGGTTTTCCCTTTTATCCTTATTCCATATTTATTGTTCCATTTTTTTTTCTAGAAAAATAAATTAGAACTCTTTTATTGAAATAATTTTTAAAATATTTCAATACGTTAGTAACATTAGAAAAACTTTCTTACTTAGAGATTTTTTAAGCATCGTTTTTTGGAATACCTTAGAATCTCATATTTGGAGGCTCAGATTTACTTTTTGTAAAAACTATATCATGCATGCAATGAAAAATGCTAATATGTTTATGCACATATTTTATTTTTTCCTTAGAAATTTTATTATTTTATTATTTTTATTTAAAATTTTGAAGAAATTTTTTTTATCATATTAAAGATTTTCTATAAATATTCTAATATACTGATAATATTAAAAAAAAATCTTCTTACTTAGAAATTTCATAAAACATCACTACTCGAAATACTTTTAGAATCCCATCATTGGATAAAAATTTTTTCTTATTTTTTATCAATTTATTTTTAACAAATTAGTTAATATTTATTTACTACTTTATAGCAAAAAAAAGAAAAATTTTTATTGTATTGAAAATATTTTATAAATACTCCAATACATTAGTAATATTTAAAAAAAAAAATTTCACCTAGAGATTTCATAAGTATCACTATTCGAAGTACCTTTGAATTTCATTGTCGGATAAAATTTTTTTTTCTTACATCTTTACTAATTTTTATTATTTATATTATTTTTAATTTTTAATTTTAGAAATTTATCAAAGGTTAGAAAGCATTTTTTTTGTCATAGTTATTAATTATTAATTTTTTTGTCATTATTTTGTACAAAATTGTAAAAAATTTAAACTATGTATTTCATTATTTATTTATTATATTTTATTAATTATTATTATAAAAATAACAAAAATTTATTCTAGCAAATTTAAATATTTTAACATAGATAAATACTAATAATATTATTTAAAATAACAAAAATAATTTTAAAAATTAAAAAAAAAATTTTTACCTAATCGGTTTGGTCAACTTTTGTTTAAGCCAGTTTAACTGGATCGATAAAAGGTTAGAGAAGAGTCAAGTTGCAGGTCAATTGTGTGGAGCTCAGGTCGAGTCGTCAGGTTAATGTGCGGATTTTCCCAAACTTAAACGATGTGTTTTGATCCCCAATTGCTTATATATAAACTTTTTTTTACTTCATTTTCACTCTTCTTAAAAAAAAAAAAAAAAACAAAAGGCTTTTTCCTCTTTTCTCTCAACAATCCTCAAGATCGGTCACCGACCATCGTGACTACCACCATGCCTTTCGTCACCAGTGTTTGCCAGCCACCGTGCTAATCATCGAAAAAGTCCAAAAAAATCAAATACTCCTTTCAACCTCCTCTCTCTATATCTAACCTTTTTTTTTTACTGAAAGCTTCATAATTTCCTTAAATCTACCTTGAAACCCTTTGTTCAAAAAACCTTTTTTTTTTATTCTATTGATTTTTTTGTAGGCCAGCGTTGGATCCCCTCATTGAAAGAATTGCTTTTTGTGTTTATGTGTTTGATTTTTTATTTTTTATTTTTACAAATAGCTTTTTTTTAATCTGAGTTTTTTTTCAACAAAGTTTTTTTCATGGATCCCTTCCTTTTCCTCTTTTAGCTCTATATATAGAGCCAAATGATGATCAAAATCTTATATTTTTTGGGATTTTGCTAAACTTTGGCTACCTAGGATTAGGGCAACCAACGGCTAATAGAAAAGATGCCAGAAAAGATAGAAAAAAAAGTAATAATAATAGTAATAAAAAATTAAATACAAAATGGATGTTTACAACATGAATGGATATGAAGTTAAGTGTGCTAGGGTGCAATTCATAATCAATCTTGCCAAAAGAACATGTGCTTGTAGATAATAGAATCTAACTGATATACCTTGTTGTCATGCTATTTGTGTAATTTTTTATTATGGTGATTAGCTTAAAAAGTACATCCATGGGTACTATTTAAAGAAAAGATTTTTATTGACTTATGAGCACACTTCACAGCCTATCAATGGTGAAAATGAATGGCCTAAAAGTGAGTTAAAACTCATGTAACCTCTTTTGATAAGAAGAATGCCAGGCAAACTAAAAAAGAATACAATTTCATAACATGATAAGCCTAAAGCTAAACACAAAATGTCTAGAAAAGGCATGACTATGACTTGCCAGCTTTGCAAACAACTAGAACACAACAAAGCTAGTTGCCTTTAAAGAAGCAACTTGGTTGGTCCATCTAGTTGAATATGTTTTTGTTTTAATACATTATATTTTTTCATTTGCAAACTTAATTTAGTTTTTCTCTAATTATTGCTATAGTTTTTTTTTAATTACTTATTCCTAGGTTTCGAAACAGTCAAGTGGTTTAACAAGATGAAGAGGTAACGATAGAGGAAAGGGAAATGCTAGGGGTTCAAGACCAACTAAATCAATAAAAAGAAGAGGAAAACGTCATTTCGGTAGAGAAAATGCCACGACTTGTTCAGGAGCAAATTATGCAAATCTTGGTTTAAGAGAGGTAAAATTGTTGCTAAAATTGTCTTGCTTTTAGTATTTTCAAATTCTATATTTATATTTATGTTAGCTGCAAAACTAGCCCGAAAGAATTAAGTAGTGTTCATGTGACTATAGGAATAATGTTATAATTATATTTGTCTTTTATTTGGTTAGATTAGATTTATTTTTATTTTTCAAGTAAGATAAAGTTTTCTTGTTCTGTACCAAAAACTAGGATGGCTAAATTCTATATATGGTTTGGACATTTCATATATCTCTTTAAGCATATTTTTAGCTTTTGTGGTGGTTTATGCTTCTTACATGACTATTAAATGATCTTTCTTGTCTAATTCTATATAGCTTCACACCTTGTCAACTTTTTAATGCTGCTATTTTTCCTTCACAATTTTGCTTCAGTGTTACTTTTGTAACCCAGCTTATGCCTTAAAGTTAAATGTATCTAATATCTATTAAATAACCTTTTACTTATTCAAAAATGTTTTTCTTAGTATTAAATGTGAATGAAATTGTATGGAATATGATTAGGATAAATAAAACCTATTATTAATTGTATATGTGTGATCTATAAATGTATACATAAACAAGAATGTGTTGATACAGGATGAAAGTGTTACTCAATAACAAGCATTACATGCAAGAGCTAAAGGGAAAAGAAAGCAACAAACTAGGCCACCACACCTATTTGGCATTGGTTTATTTACTAACTTAGATACTCGAAAGTCAAATCTAAATGTAAACATATTGAAATTTTCAAATTGACAGATACTTTTATGTTTTTAAAAATAAACTAATCTCTTACTTTTTTAACTCTATCTTTTTTATATAGCTCAGAATACCAAGTGAAACTTTGATTGATGAGAACAACACAAACGGGAGAACATATGCTAACAAGAAGAAAAACTAAACATGAATGTTTATGTTCAATATTAGTTAATGCCATAACTTCTTTTTTTATTTCATGTTTTTTTTTTTTGTTGAATTTGTTATATGGCAATCCAAACTGCTAATTGCCTTTGGACGAATGTAATTGCAAGTTCGTGATTTAATGTAGATTAATTGAATGATGTTATATGTGGCTTACTATTATATTTTATTTGAGTTTATGGCATTTTGTTAAATAGTGTTGTATATAAAATGAATTTTTTTGTTTCAAATTTTTACCTATTTTATTTCTTATTTTGGTTTTGTTTTTCTTTTTTTATTTATAGGTTTGAGGGTGAGATGTATTATTTTTTTCTTGTTTATTTCTCTTTTATTTTTGTTGTATGATACACAAGCAAGTCTAAATTGTGAAAAATATTACTTTTTTTCCCTACTTATTTTCTCTTTAATTTATTTATGTTATATACTACACAGGTAGGTTTGAATAATGAAAGATATTAGTTCTTTTTCTCTCATTTATTTCTTTTTTTTTTTTGTATTATAAATTTTGACTTAATTTTTTTTTGTTTTTTTGCAAAATACCATGTCACCAATTCACGTGGACATCATTTATCATGTCATCAGGCTAGTTATCAAAGTTAGTCTAATTTAATGAAAATTTACTTAATTACATTAATTTTGAAAGTTTGTGAACTTATTTATATAAAAATAAAAATAAAAGAACATAGATTAAGTTGCATACAATAAAACATTGAGGGTTTAAGTCCATTTTGTATAAAGGGTATATAAATATTAATGGTATATTTGAATATTAAGCCACATATAAATAATCGTGTTATTCCATTATGCATTTCATGCTAGAGTTTAAAGTTAGTAAAGTTGATCTGACCTTAAACTTAAACCAACTTGATCTAACCAATAAACATTGACAACTTAAACTTGTTCAATCCAAATAAAAAATAATTTAAGCTTAAAATGGTTTAAATTTAAAATAATTTAAATCTAAGCAACCCCAAAAACAAAACTAAAATTAAATTGATTTAACTTTAAAATTAAACAGTTCCAAAATAATTAAACTTGAAATGATTCAAATCTAAAATGATTCAAAATAATCTTAATTTTTTCATTTGGAGATAACCCAATCTAAAACTATTTAATTCAAACTCCTTACCGTAAAATTGCTATCTATTTCTCTCTTTAGCCAAACATAATCTCACCCTTTATAGTTAATCATAAAAAGGGATAATATCCTACTTAGCTCCTAAACTATTTCATTTTTCTAACGTGATACTTAAACAAAAAAAAAGTACTTAAACTACATTTTTGTGAATTAATTAGCCCCAACCTTTGACACTGTTAATTAGAAATGTTGAGCGAAGCATGAACATTCAATAAGTTACTAATATGTATAAAAAAAAAGTTTAATCAATGTCATGTCATCAATACTACGTCACAAAAAAAGAAAAAAAAATTTTTAAATTCAAAAATTTTTTTAAAATTTTTAATTTTTTTAAAAGTATAAAACAATTTCAAATTTTTTGAAGAATTCTAAAAAATATTCTACATAATTTTAAAAATTCAAAAAATTTTGAAAAATTCTAAATTTTTTTTGAAATTATAAAAAAAATTAAAAATTTTAAAATTTTCAAAAATTTTCTAAAAAAGTCTAAAATTTTTTTTAAAATTCTATAAAAAATTCTTAAAATTTTGAAAATTTTTTAAAAATTCTTGAAAAATTTTTAAAAAATAAATATTTTAAAATATTTCAAAAAAAATTAAAAAAAATTAAAAATATTTTTAAAAATTATAAAGTGCACCGCTTATTAGAAGCCGAACCTCCATACTTTCTTTAATTCATTTCTTCTTCCAAACCGATCAAGAATATCAACAAAACTAACCCAGATCCTCAACAGCTGATCGCTGTCACCACCACCACCAATCTTGTTCCTGTCAAATTGAACCCAAAATCCTAACTCCTAATTCTTTCCAAAAATTCAACTGAAATTCTACAGAAAAACCTTGTAAGGACTTTTTGCAATATTATTTTCTTCTTCAATTTTCCTGTTTATCTGCTTATGGGCCGATTTTCGCTTTTTTGTTTCTGTTGATGAGTTCTCGATTTTGTCGTTTGTTGATGAATTGCTTGCTCTTTAGATAGCAGGTTTCAATTTTGGGTATGAGTTTCGTAGGTTTTCTGTTTGAATTCTATGTTTTACAGTGTATGGTCGTTGGGTTTGATTTTTTTGGTTTCTGATTTCAGGCTTGGATTGACTTCTGGTTAGCTGCTTTCTGATGGGTGGATCGTAGAATTGATGTGTTCCTTAATTGTTGGCCTCTTGGAATTGTTGTGGATTATCCATGCGCTGAATTCTTGTTTCCTGCTAATTTACCAAAACCTTTTTACAAATATTTGCTACCAAAATCATTCCCTTGTATTCTTACTAGGAATTGCTTCTATCAGCTGCCTTAACTCAAATTTTGGTCTTGCTCTATTTTCACCCCCATTGAGCTTGATTGCTTCTACTGTTTTTTGGGTTTGATTTTTGCTCCATATTAATGTCAATTGTTCACTATCTTCTTTTTGAATTGATTCTCGCTTATTGGTTTCTGAAAGTGGTCTAACTGTGGACTTTGACTTTGGCTAGAGATTCAATTTGCATGTTGAACTCAGTCTTTATTTGGGATCGCTTGAGGCTGGCGTCGCAGCCTCAATTGCTTCCATGTTTGACCCCTTTTGTGTGCTTGCAAGGCTTTGCCAAAATTTTTTTCCTTGTAATGGCTTATGTTTGATCTTGATTTGCTATTGTCCAGCCTCCTTATGTCTCTCAATTTGCTGATCAATGTTTAATTGAAGCAAAATTGTTGTGCCAAATTGCTATTATAATTTTTTTAAAAAATTTTAAAATTTTATAAAATTTTTTTAGATGTTTTTATTTTTAAAATTTTAAGAATTTTTTTGAGCTTTTTAATTTTTTAGAATTATTCAAAAAATTTTTAAATTATTTTAGATTTTTCAAAAATGTGTTGAATTTTTTTGGAAATTTTCAAAATTTTTAAAAAAATTTTTAAGAAATTTTTTTTTGAATTTTTCTTTTTATGCTTATATGGCACTAATATTATAGTACTTGCTAAATTATATATATATATATATTAACATTTTATTGGATATGCGTTAATATTTTTTATTATCAGTGTTGAAAGTTGAGGTAATTTAATATATAAAAATATAATTTAAGTTTCAAATTAAAAAGAAAAAAGTATCACATTAAAAAAAATTAATAGTTAAGGGACATTACCCCTCATAAAAAAGATATAAAAAATGACTTTAACCCCTAATGGTACCCATAAAAAAAAAAAAAATTAACGAGTGAACTCGGCTAGAACAGCATTCGAATTTAGAAGTTAGAACTTCCTACTCCTAGCTTAAAAATGAAAAAGATCGATCTTATGAGATAAGAGAGGATAGTATTTGTAACATACAATCACGTAAAAAGCATGAACATACATTAAACATGTAATTACTTACATTGGCTGCATTAAACATAAATTTCAAATCACAATTCACAGAAAGTTAACCTTCTAATTTGATTACCGGAGAAAAAAAATATCTTAAATTAAATTTATTGTGGTAATTTTTCAGTGAAAATTTGTGGTAAATTACAATGATATGTCATAATGTACAACACGAAAGGTTTATTTAATAATTTCTATTTATTTAGACATATTTAGCAATACATTTTTAGAAAAAAAAATCATTTATTTAAAACAATATTTTTCTGTTCTGCAATTTTGTTTTGTTATCAATTTTTTTAATTAATCAAAATCGAAAGGTTGAAATTCATCCTTAAAGATATAAAAATAAAATATTGGCAATATGGGATATATCTTAAAATAAGATTTTTTTTTTTTAGATTGGAAATAAGAGATTCAAATCCATTAACTTCCAATATGGTAACATCATTCAATGCATCTACCATTGAATCATATACTTTGATGCATTTAACATAAACAGTTGACATTTCCAAATTAACTAGGACTGAAATTGGTAATTACAGGCCTCCCTTGCTTCCTTAAAAGGAAATACATGCAATTATACCCAGAAATTGGCATATAAGAAAATATTTTATACAAGGAAACCTATTAAAATCAAACACTATAAATTACACTTCCAAATGGGTTTTTACATCAAGTAAATTTTGAGAATCATAAGAGAAAAAAAAATGGCCCAAACAAAAGTTCTATCCTTCGTCCTACTTACTGTCCTCATCCTATCCGTGGGTATGTGACACTATTCTCAAAACCAAATGTATAAACATGTTAAATTTTTTTAGTCAAGGATCCTCCTTTGCTTTAGTTTACTGTTTTTTGGGTGCATATATAAGATAGATTTTCTTTGGAATTTCTATCAATTTCATTCTTTCTTTTATAAAACATGGTTTTCATGGTTTCAAAAAAAATTAAAATGATCAAACAGTTAAGATATATGTAATAACATGATTTATTTCTACCATCATCCGTACATATTTATTTAATTTTTATTATAATACACGAGTTTTTAATTTAATAATTGATACATGTATCTTTTTTCGTAAAGTAAGATTCATTTTCCTTCTCTAGACTAAAAAATAATATTTGTCTGAATTTACAGATGTTATGGAAGTTGTTGGTCAAGGAAAATGTTGCCAAAACCATCCAAGCCTTGGTGGATGTGTACCAGGAAAAGACGATGATCCTGAGAGTAGTGGCAAATGCTGGGCGTATTGTATAACTGATTGTGTGAAAGGGGGTTTTTGCAAACAAGTTGGTGCAGGCCACCATCAGTGTCATTGTTATTGTTGATCTTAACTGTTTGCAGTCGGAGTAATAATAGAAAAAATAATACACATAAACAAATTTGAGATGATATTTTCTGAATTTTAAGCGGAATAAAATGATATTGAAACAATCTTTAACTTTATTTATCTTTCCATTTTGAAGAAATTGTGGGTTTATGATTATTATTGAAGGGTATATTTATATATTCAAAATTTAATGGTAATCACTAAAATTAATATTTTTTTATCACTGAAATTCAAATTTTATATTTTATTTTTATCGATAAATCACACTACTTTTAACTTTAAATTTGTTTTTTCATTAATTTAAAATATCAAGATTTTTTTTTTTTACGAAATACGTTATTGTGCCTAATAGTAAGTAGAGATGGTAATGGATTGGGTCGGGGTGGGTTTTTATTGACCTCGAACCTAACCTAATTTTATAATTATAAAATTCGTACCCGTATTCGATCCGAATTTTTTTAATCCGAATTCGATCAAAATCCGACATTATATAAATCGTATTCGATTCGATCCGATTCGAAATTAATAAAATATTATTTTTAAAATATAAATATATAAATATATATAAATAAAAAATTTAAAAATAATTAAAAAAATAATTTTTTATATAATATCGGGTCGGGTATAATTTGTCTAAAATCTAAATTCGATTTTCACTTATTAATATCCGACCTGAAATTTGATTTAAAAAAAAAATTGATCTTATAAAATTGAATCAGATCAAACTCACTAGTTTCGAGTTGGGTTGCCAACCCTAACAATAGAGCTAAACAAATATTTTTTTTTCTTTGGGAAAGGATGTTTTTGCAAACAAATGAACGATGGCCATAAGAATGTCACTGTTATCGTTAGATCCATCTTTAATTATTCATGTATTGTCGGCTAATCTATGCATGGAATATATAAGAATAGTTAAAGATAATGCTTTTTCATTTTTAGCTTAAGTAATAAGAAATATGCTACTACTATTATCAAAACAAGATTATCTTATAAATAAATGAGTGGTAGTATTGAAATGTTTGATTCAATAATTAGTATTTTATTTTTATACATATTTTTTAAAAATTCAAATATTTTTTTTTAATTTAATAAATAAATAAATTAGTTGTAAGAATTAAAAATCTCACTCACCCATGTAATGGGCATGATTATTATTTTGAAAGTGAAAAATATGTCGGATGCATTTTAGGCTGTAAAAAAAAAAAAAGGCTTTGGCAAATATTTGGTTCAATAATAGGCCCATTTTCTTTAATTAATATAGATGACTTGAGCTTTCTTTAATTTCTAATATTAGAAAAAAAATGAAAAATATGATTATTATGAGACAAAAATATTATATGTTGTTCATAATAACATTTTTATATTTAAAATTATTAAAATTAAATATTCAACCCTCTAAAAATTGATCAAACAATTATAGTTAATTTTTTATTATAATATCAAACATTAACAATTTTTTTAAAGAAATTTTAAATCTCAAATTCTCAATCACGCTTGTCAATAAAAAAATTCAAATTAAATCTAAATTAACCTCAAACTTAACAAATTTTTTTTTTTTAAATCAAATAAAGAAAAAAACTGCTTTCATGGTCCATTGAAAATTTGAAATTAATATTATTGGCACCAATTTATTGTTTATAATCATTATTTGGTCATTGGTTGCAGGTGCTCAATTTTTTTCAAAGGTGAAAATACAAAAAATAGAAATAAAATAAATAGTTAAAAAATAAGCAAAAAGAAAAGACAAAGCAATAAAAAAATATTAAAATGCAAAAGGTGATAATTAAAAAGAAAAAGGAAAAGATAGTTGCCCGAGAAAAACGAGTAAACAAAACCAAAACGTGAAAGTGGTCGGCATTGACGGCTTTGTCTGTCTGATTTCTTTTTTTTTTCGGTCCGAGGCAAAGCCTCAGAGATAACGCTGTCCTCAAAATCATTGATCTGACCTAGAAGCCATGGACGCCAATTCCCAGCAACCAGGTTCGTTTTTTTTCCTCTTCGTTTCGTAATAAAAGCTAGTAATTTGTATGGGTTTATGATCATGTTTTGACCGATTGATTGATTCAAATATAGAATTGTAGCGTCTTTAATTTTTATTGCTCTTTTTTTTAATTTCTTTTAATTGTTCCTGTTTGGTTGGTGATTTGGTTAAGGTGATTAAGAATCAACCAAGTTTATGTTCCAAATTTTGGGCTTTTTTTGTGGATTTTGTTTCTTTTGGGGGATTTTTTTTTTTTATGATAGAATTAGGTCAAGGAATTAAAGGATAATTAACTTGGATTGGGTGTTGCAAATTTTAAATATTGGAAATTGGTTTTTTTTTTTATAATTTTATTGTAATTGATATTTTGCAACTGCAGCTACCGGTGGTTCTCCGCCTAAACCATGGGAGCAAGCTGGGGGCTCGTCTAGTTCCGGACCCTTTAAGCCACCATCACCTGGCAGCACCAGCGATGTGGTGGAGGCATCCGGAACAGCAAGACCAGGTGAAATTGTTCCGACTGCTGATAGAACTGCAGCTGTGAATAGAAACGCTGTTGGTAGGCCTTTACCTAGTAGGCCTTGGGAGCAACAGAATTATGGTAAAGGTTTAATTCATCTATTACACAATTCAAACGGTTACTTATTGTGGAGCTTGTCTAAGTTTGCTGTTTGATGCAGGGTATGGATCTGGTTTAAACTACAACTCAGGGTATGGTTTGGGAATGTATGGTTCATCATATGGTGGATTAGGGTCTTATGGTGGTGGATTGTATGGTAACGGCATGTATAGAGGAGGTTATGGTGGTCTATATGGGAACTCTGGAATGTACGGTGGTGGAATGTATGGTGGTGGCCTAGGTGGCGTTGGGGGTCCAATGGGTGGTTATGGAATGGGCATGGGTCCATATGGTGAGCAAGATCCAAATAATCCTTTTGGGGGTCCCTCATCCCCGCCAGGCTTTTGGATTTCCTTCCTCCGTGTGGTAATTCCTTTCTCATATTGTCATTGATTTAATTTTTATCTGATTAAATGTAAACAATATCTTCTGTTACTTAAAATGTCCTATCCTAGCTGGAATGGTAGCCTGCCACATTAGCTATTGGTTTCATTTTTTCATTTGTTCTTGAGCTCAAAATATGCTCTACAGGAAATATTAATGTATTTCATAGTCTCACTGTCCATTTTCTAAAGTACTAAAATATGAAATATGGAGGGGAAGGTACTGATGGGTTTTGGGGGGCTTGGGGTTGGTTTGTTGAGGGTTGCTTAGGATCATCCATGGAGGACATATCCATGGTGACTTATCTTTAACTCTAAAATGTCAGAAACACTTTATGACCTGTTATTTAACTCTAAACTTTTTCACAGTGAATTTAGATCTTTGATACAGAGCTAGATTACTATGAGTTGATTACATCTTATTTGGGTGATAAGGAAGTGTTTGCAAAAAAAAAAAAGACAATTTATCCTTTTAGATTTGGGGCAAGTTGTTGCATGACATGGTTTTATGAATTTAACCTTTTTATGTAAATTTTGCTTTCCCAAGCTGCATTCTTTCACTGTGTCAAAGCGATAATTGCTTTCTTCAATGATTGCAGATGCAAGGTGTTGTTAACTTCTTTGGCCGGATATCTATTCTGATAGACCAGAATACACAAGCATTTCACATGTTTATGACTGCTCTTCTTCAGGTGCTGTTTTAATTTATATATATCTCCCCATTTGTCCAAATCTGATATGGAATCATTAAATTGGAGTTGACTTTCACAAGATTGGTGAGTGAAATTCATAACATGTTGACTCATGGCGTTATTATTTGCAGCTTTTTGATCGCACGGGATTATTGTATGGAGAATTAGCTAGATTTGTGTTAAGACTGCTGGGAATCAAAACAAAGCCCCGAAAAGTCAATCAACCAGGACCCCATAACCCTCATGGGAATCAGAACTATATTGAGGGGCCAAAGGCTGCTCCAAGTGGCGCATGGGACAATTTATGGGGAGAAAATGGTAGCACTTAGTTTGCTACTCAATCTCCATCCAACGACATCTGGTAAATTGACCAGAGCTTTAAAAAGGCTTGTCGGAGCATGGATGAGACAAATTCAACTACTTGCATGATGAAAGCTAGGTGGTGTTCATCTGAAGAATGTTTGTGGTCGAAGTTTTTCTGCTTGTTTTGAACGTACCTAGTACTTCCATATTGTTAAAAAGATGAGACATGATAATAGCCATTAAATGTGCATATAGGCTTCTTGATACTAATGAAAGGAAAATATGATGCTTGAATGAATGAATAAGTGTTTATTGTTTGATTATCCTGATCTTTTTACTAAAATTGAAAAGATACATAACCTTTAAAGCTAAACAAAGAAGAATCTCCTCGATCCAGAACATCAAAATATACCAATGGTAAGGTTTTCTGGATTGAACTTTATGACTGAAACTAAGAGACTTTATCAATAAATTATGTAATATTCTACCAACAGATTACACAAAATATTCCATCAAATCACACTAACACTGGCAAAAATGTTTCCTCTTTAAGCACTTCATTACTATGTAACAATTCTAAGAGAAAGGCTTTAGCTTTGGTGCAAGAGTGGCATTCCGCAGAAACTTACATTGGCCGAATTTCCTTTTTTCTCTCATTTGCAATTGCACCAGCTTCCAATGGTGTTGTTAGAACTTTTCCAGTATCAACCAGCTTCCAATGGCTGAAATATTGATTTTTTTGCTCAATAAGCCAAATGAAAACTTTTCCAGCATTAACCAGGAAAATTTGTTTATTTCTAGGCTCTAGCCTCACCAGAGATTCAAAACTTGAATTTTGATTCACCATAAATATGGATTGAGGATTGAAATTGTTGAAAAATGGACCAACAACCTGCCCTCAACTCCATCCTCCAAAATCCAACAGAATCAAGATAGACCGACTAAATGAGAATAAATTAAAACTCCAATTGATTGACGCTAAAAAAAACTAACAATAGTATCAACCAAGCAGAATCTAGAATTAGCAAACACAATCGTGCATGAACCACAAAGATCGAAGTATTACAAAAATGAAAGTGTAACTGTCTCTTAGGCTAAACACAAGTCAGGTAGCACAAAGATATTTAATATTGCATTCCTTTTTTTTTTTTAATCTTATCCTAACTGAATGCGAGATTGCAATCCCAATAATAATAATAATAAAAGCTAAGAAAAGTATCATGCTGTTTGAAAACCTTAGATCATTTTAAAGTTCATTCCGTCCAAATAATCAAATATATTTATCAACGCAAGTAAATAACTTATGTTTAGAGGTGACCTTTATCAATCAATATTGAAAAGTGCCTCAAGTTGACTGGTACACATGTAGCATCAATAGCTTTTCCTCACATATATGGCAGTCAATCTCATACTCATCATATTCTAAGCTGTCCCAATCAGGCCCAATACACATTACTTGTTCACCCTTAATATCAACATCACCTCCATACAATTTAAACAGCTCCACTGCTGTCTCTTATATCCTACAATTTCCATTCATGCACAAAACAGAGAGCCCTTTGCAGCCATCTCTCAGAGCCTGCAACCCTTGATCACATAAATTTCGGCAGCGATTCACATGAAGTTTCTCTAAATTGTGGCAGTTTAACCCAATGGCAGCCTAGCCTGAAACCCTAACCTCATGGCACAATGCCAGGTTCCACTCTTGAAGTTGAGGACACCCCTTTGCAATTGCAACAATGGAAGCATCACTAACAGTTCTACACATTCGAAGACTAAGGATTTTAAGCCTCGTTGCAAATCCGTTCCCAATTGCTGCCAATGCATCTCTGAAGTTCAAGTAACTTAAACCAGTGACGTTTAAAACCTTAAGCCCACCTCCACTAACAATTGCTGTTAGTCCCTCTGGTTCAAGATTACAAAATCCAGCATCTATGTAAACCAGAGTTGATGAACAACCACTTAAGATTATTTTACAACATCTTAATATTATTTTACTTTTAGCTGACAAAATTACAACTACGATCATCAAAACTTTATAAGATATGGGTTACTTGTAACAAAATAAAAGGGAATGCATTTAATAAAAATAAAGAGAATTTATATGCTAAGTGTTGATTTTTTTTTTGTTATTTATTGCGTTACAAATAATAAACCAACCTAAAATATAAAAAAAATAAGTTAGAAAAAAAATGAGAAGTATCTAATCTGAATCAATTAATTCAAATTGATGTTATTATATATATATATATATACCTTAATGGTTAAAGTTTTGATAATTGAATTTTCACATTAATCAAGTAATTTTGAAACTTTTTAAAATATAATATTAAAGCATTTATGTATTAAATAAATATTTCATTTGTGGTACATTCATCATATTCATATATAAAATATATATACATAAGATAACATGTAGGTATTTTATTAATAAATAAAACAAATACTAAATATTAAAATAAAAAATTAATTAAAAGTAAAATATGTGTCAATTTTTAATTTCTTTTGCAAAATTAAAAAATTTTAATAATATCGTATAAAAAATGAACTATAAATTATAAAGAAATTATTTCATGTGCTAGCAAAGTTTTAAACCTCCAAGTTAGTAGAATAACATATATTTTTAAAATATATTAAAAAAATAAAATCTTTAATTAAAAATAAATATGTTTCATTTTATTAAGTTTACTTGTAAAATTAAAAAATTTTATAAACAGTACAAAAAAATGAATTATAAATTAAATACCCAACTTATTTGCCTGACGCCTGTTAGAAAAAATTGCAACCGTGTAACCTCCTAAACGTGTCAAAACTTAAGGCCGGGTGCACCAGCAGAGTCTACATTGATAGGTAATCATGTCCATTAATTAAAAAAATCAATCGTCACCGTTGATTTGCTCCCATAAAGTACTCGCTAGGGTTTTAGAATAGAGCCCCTTTTTATTTTACACAGTCTCTAGGCGCGGCTGCTAACCCTGAGCTCAAAGCCATGGTAACACTCATTCTCTTCACATAGTTTTTTTACTCTTTTTTTTAATATTTGCTCTCATTTTTGTGATAATTTAGCTTCGCTCATTTCGATTCTAAATCTCATTTTGCATAATGTTTGGCTTTCTGCTTTTAAGGTCGTTTTGTTCTTCGTTTTTGTTGCTTAAAACTTATGAAAACATGAAAGAACTGAATCTCGGATTCATCTTCTAAGGATGTTACTGTTTTGCTTAAGAATCTATTGAATGAGTTTCCTGTAATATATTTAAGTTGGAAACCCGAAGATTATATGTAATTTAACTAATTTCAAGTTTAATTTGGATTTTTTTTCTATTTTTAGTTCATGTTCCTTTTTGCTGAATTGATAAGAACAAATAAACTGATCTGAGAATCCAAATCAGCAAGAAATTAAAGATGTGGATTCCTTTTATTAAAAAAAAAAAATTAGGCAACGAGTTTTCTAAGTTGGTTAAGTGTTATTTTACAGCCTTACGTTAAAGCTCAAAAGAGTAAGTCTTACTTCAAGAGATATCAAGTCAAGTTCAAGAGAAGGCGAGGTATGATAGTTTTGCCTATGTACTGAATGATGATATGCAAATCTATTACTTGCTTTGTTGAGGTTTTGTAATAATTGTTTAAATGTTGTAGAGGGCAAGACGGACTATCGGGCCAGGACCCGTCTTATCAATCAGGACAAGAATAAGTACAACACCCCAAAATATCGATTGGTTGCACGATTTGTATCCTAATATCTGACTGACTGACTTACTTTTTCTCCTTATTGTCATTTGGTATATGATGTGAGTTGCAAGAAGCAATTGTTTTTGTTATTTCTAGTGAATTGTTTGTCTGGTTGATCTATCGGTTTATCGAGGGTATACGGTTAAGACGTATTACAAGATTTTTTATAGGCAATTAAATCGGCTAAAATACCTTGATTCTTCTTTCATGCATGATGTGCTAATATGTTCTATATTTCCTATTGGGTATTAATATCAAGATATTTGGGCTGCAAGTTAATATTTTAACCTTAACACATTTATTAGTCGAACAAGGATATAATTGCACAAGTTGTACATGCTAGTATTGCTGGTGATATAGTTCTTGCAGCAGCTTACGCACATGAGCTTCCTCACTATGGACTTGAAGTTGGCCTTACAAATTATGCTGCAGGTGTGCAATTTACTTTTGTAAATGTTAGAATGGTCTTTTTCCCCTGGTTGAGAATGTTATCTAATTTCTTGATGCTTTGAGCACAGCTTATTGTGTTGGACTCCTTTTGGCTCGCCGAGTACTGAAACAGTTGGAGATGGATGATGAGTATGAGGGAAATGTTGAGGTATGTCTCATGCTTTTTAAGGTTCGATGAAATATGTTTAGTTTACTACTTTAATTGTATATGTATAATAAATATGTTGAAATTATGTATGTCATTTGTTCACAGGCAACTGGGGAGGACTTCACTGTTGAGCCAGCAGAGAGCAGGAGGCCTTTCCGCGCTCTCCTTGATGTTGGTCTTGTCAGAACAACCACTGGTAACCGTGTTTTTGGTGTTCTCAAGGTATAGTGGAACCATTTTCTATATATTTGTCCTTTAGTCAAACTTTATTCATTGGTTTTTCTTCTTCTAAATCTTTTTATGTAAGTTAAGAATTCTTTTGATCATGTGTGCTAGTCAAGTTTTCAGTGCATTGGATGTTTCTCATTAGCGTTCATTTAAAAACACATGTATCTATGTGCATAAGCATGGTCTTTTGTCGAGGTTGGGCTCTTTATTTATGGAGGAACAGCTTTGTGCATATTGGGGCAAATATTTTATATGATAAGATTTTGTACTTGTTTTTTTATATTATTGCTTTTAAAATTTCTAACCGTACTGTCTTTCTATTCAGCTTTAACATATTTGTATTCTTTCCATTCCCTTTTAGGGAGCTTTGGATGGTGGAGTTGATATTCCTCACAGTGAGAAGAGGTTTGCTGGATTTGACAAGGACAGTAAGCAACTTGATCCCGAAGTTCACCGGAAATACATTTTTGGTGGCCATGTTGCTGCATATATGAGGGTAAGATTTAGAGTTTATGAAGTGGTGGTTAGAGGAGAATAATAATGTTGTTGAAGCTCTCTCTCTCTTTTTTTTTGTTTTTTTTTTTTTTGGGGGGGGGGGGTGTTGAGAAAGGTGCTGAAGCTTGTTGCTGTGTTAATTTGGACACTGTTTCATTTCTTATCTGTCTGTCTGTAAGTCTCTCACTTTGTCAAGTTGACAGACTTTGATGGAAGATGAGCCAGAGAAGTACCAGTCTCACTTCGGTGAGTACATAAAGAGAGGCATTGAGCCTGAAAACATGGAGGGAATGTACAAAAAGGTTCATGCTGCTATTCGTGCAGATCCAACATGTAAGAAATCTGAGAAGGAACCTCCCAAGGAGCACAAGAGGTATAAATTCTTTCTCTTTCTCTCTTCATGCAATTTATTTGTATGCATAGTTAAGACAGCCTATTAAATCAGGCATTCTGAACTAGTTTAGACTGAAACAAAATTTTTTATTATTCCCTGCATGTTCAAAGAAATTTTGGTTTTTTAAGAATTGAAAGTCTGATGTAATGTCCTTCTGCATGATAGGTACAACCTGAAGAAGCTGTCTTACGAGGAAAGGAAGGCTAAGTTGATTGATAGGTTGAAAGCTCTTAATTCAGCTGATGCAGTTGAAAATGATTCTGACGAGGATGATGATTAAGCCGATGGTTTTGGGCATATTTTGCCCGCCTATCTCTTTTATTTTGCTGCTATTACTTGCGTCAAAAACCAAAATCTTGGCTTGTTTGTTAGGGATGAGAAACTAGACTTTTTGGCTGTGGAACTTCTTCTTTTTTGGGGTTGCTTTTTCAGTTATTTGGTACCTTTATTATATAAGCACTATTTGCCATGTCAAAATCTTCATTCCGATTACCTTTTAATATCTGTCGACAATTTAAAATGTTGATCTATTTATAACCTTCCATGGGGACTATAACTCTATAGCATTGTCTTTTTTTTTTTTTTCTTTCTTTTCTTCTATCAAGTATTTGAAATTTTCGTTACATACTTTATTCATTGTTCTTTGATCTTTTACCGATACAGCTGATCATAACAACAAAATACATATTATTTTTATTTTTGTAATAAAAATTAAAAAATATTATTTTATTACTATGGCTTCCTTCAATTAAGATAAAATATGAATAATGTTATAATTATGTAGCACTTGATTATTTTTGGTAATCTTTAATTTATTTTTATAAATAAAGGTTAAATATAATCCTTTCAATGTCTTACTTTCTATTTTTCTTTAACCAAATGTATATTTTATTTTCATTTTTTTCACCATTAAAAATCTAATTATCCATATTTTCACTCTAACTAAGCACGTTTTAACTTTGACAGTAAAAATACTTTTCAACAATTCTCTTTTATTAACTTGGCCGTGGAAGACTGTCCAAAGTTAAAAAAGTCACAAAATTGCGAAAATATGAATCCATTCAAGTAAAATACTAGTAACCAACTAATCAGGAAATACAGCTGCATCTATTGAGAAACCTAGTTGCTCACTTCTTGCAATCAGCTGTTGAGAAACCAAGTTCCCTTTACTTTTAAGTCAGGTACATTCAAGATGAAAAGAGAGATCAAACTAGCACAAGAAGAAATCTGAATTATGATGCAATCATAGGACCAACATAATTTGCCTTCGGTAAAAATCAGTTCAATACTTGATCATCCAATAATCCAATTGCACATTCAAGATTGCCATAACATTCTCCACCATCTTTTCGTTATCTACAGAGAGTGAAAACTTGGAACATGCGTATCATTTTCACAGCAACCAAGTATTAAAATGCCTTACTCATCATCGTCTGGATCAAAATCTCTAATCTTCACATCCGCATCTTCACCATACTGAATGCAGTTGTCAATTTGAGCCAAAACATATTGTATGCTGTAAAAGTCAGAACAAGTCAATGATAAAACATGTTAGAAAATAAATTGTAAAACAGAGGATCCACTCAATCCAATGACAATTTATGTGTTAAACAACCTCCTCTCTCTCTGCGTTTGTAAGTGTTTTTTACTATTAGTTTCCCAGAAAGAGAAAAGTCGCAACTGGTTACACAAGCATAAGCACTCCCAAGAAATTAATGTTCCTTACAGATCATGAGTTGCATCTAAGGTGAGTGCAATCAGATGAAATCTCATGTGCAGGAGTCTAATCCACCTGCACACCCACCATCACACAGACAAATAAAGAGAGAGAAAGAGAGAATGCACCTGCTTTCCTTCCTCAAGTCAAGTGGAATAAAGCTCACCATGCTATATTCATCCACCTAAAATGCAAAAGAAACAATAATGTGATAAATATAACAAATCCAATCAATTTTAAACAGCGACTACTAAGAGAGAAAAGAGTCATAATGTTGTTAAAAGTTCGACCAGAAGAGCCAAATATCAAAAACAGTGATACAACAATTGATTCAACAATACGTGTTTAAAAAAAATCTTAAGACATCAAAAGAGTTCTTATGTAAATGTAATGAATACCATGCAAAGCGCGCAAATACTGGTAGCTTCCATATCAAGTAACAGATCAAACAACCAAAAGGTGAAAATAACCCTTAACTTCAACAACAAAAACTTTGCTACAAAGAAAATATGTTTGACATATATTCAGTCAACTGGAAACCAAATAATGCAACTTTAAGGGCAATTACCAAACAAAATAGGCACATCTATGGTATGGTTATAGAAATAATTGAAAAGAGAACCTTCTGAGCATTCCAAGAGACTATAAGATATTGCTGAAATTAAAAAAAGAATTAATTAATTAATATCAACCCCCCCTTAAAAAAAGAATCCAAATATCCAACGGAAAGTTAGATATTGGATCCTGAATGACTAAGTATCTCACCAGCTCAATCAAAGATTTATTTAGCTTTTTAAACTGAGGAGCCATCCGTTCATTCAACTCCGACAGCAGAAGATGAGGCTCGGGATCCAAGTAGCTATGATCAACAAAGACATTGGTTAAAGAAAAACAAAAACAAGAACAAAATGAAAGAAAATAAATAGAACGCAGGTTGGAGAAGAGTAAGTGAAAGATGCAAATGCTCACTTTTCTACATCCCTCTTGTTTGTTACAAGGTCCATTTTGGACAGGATATTAACATGTGGTAATTCAAGCTGGACCATTGCAGAAAGGGATGCCATGCATCCACTTATGAACTTGGTAACATCCGTGATGAACTGACACAAATAAAAATTTAGAGATGTTAAATGTGCATAACCAATAATAAGACATGCCAACTAAATTTGAAAAAGAGACAGGCATTTGGGAAGATGCAGAGCTGACAAACCTGTGAATCAAGCAAGTACACAGCACACACATTAAAATTCTTGCGCTTCAAGTGCTCCACAAAGTTACGGAGCACTGGTACATGTGAAAAGAGTTCTATCTGGCCTATAAAATAATTGAAAGTTAGCAACATTTATCCTCATTTGCAGTACAGTTCAACAAATAATACATCATAGCAGACAACCTAATTCAGTAATACAATACCCAAAAAGTAGACCCCTGCGAAGTTAAAAAGCAATAAACTTAAAGAATAAGTTTCAAGCTTTTAGTTACAAAATACTAACATACACATCCAAACAAGATTAGATACCAGGGCAATCAAATACTAGATAGTCATCATCCAAGTAATTTTCCAATTCTTCAGTCAGCCAATCATCCAGGTTTTCTTCGAGATGTCTAGTTGTAGGTTAAGGTTTACATTTTTGCTCCCAAAATCTAATTAAGAAAGGAATAAACATGCACTCTTCATATGACAAATAGAAAGCTGAGAACACAGGCAAGTGGAACAAATTAGTCTGCAAAAAAACCTCCACAAACATTCAGAGCCGTTTAAACACTTCAGTACAAACAACAATCCAAATTAATGCAACATAACATCATTCAATAACAATAATAATAGCAATAGAGGCTTTTACAGTAACAACAATCAAGATAATGGCAAAATACAAAAAATGAAAATTCCCTTTATAGAGCAAGACAAGAATAAAAAAGGGGGAAAGGATACTCCATGCAGTATATAAGGCCACCATTTGGACCCAATCCAAGCTCCTCCATAACATCATCCAAACTAATAAGCTTGCTTATATCTGCAAACAACCAAAACTCAAATGCAAAAAAACCAGAGAAAAAGATAAAATCAATAAGATAAATGCAAGCAAAAGGTTGATTACCCATGGCTACAGGATAGTCAAAATTTTCAGCAGCAGGATCTAGGTTCACAATATGTATTGACCGTCCAAGAGTTTCACAATGCTGGTACAAGCTAGAGCAGTAGGTTGACTGATTCCAAAAACAGAATAGCCACTTTAGTATACATTGTGGTGAAAATAAAAACTTGGTGCCTAACAGACCAAAGACAGTAGCATTCTTTTTTTTTTCTTTTCCTTCTAGAAAGAACCAGAGAACCCCGGGATGATTGACCTCATTTCAAACCCCTGAATAGAATGTTTGATAGACTAACTCACCTTTCCACTGCCTGCAGGACCAATTACTAGTTGTGCATAGCCCATGATAGCTTTTCGCACTTATCAAGCTGCTTCACTAACTCAGAATGAACAGATGGAAATGAAGATCCGCAATGATGCAAGAATTGCAACAGTAACATATGCAATACACCAAACACCGACAGCGAACAACAAATTCAAGAAATCAGATTGGCCCATAAACCAGTGGTGAGAGAGACACACACAACATTAGATAACCTGATTTATCAAATATCAAAGAAAAAACAGGAATCACATTTTAATTCCATTATCATGCGTTAAAACAAAAGAAAAGCAATCCCACCAAGTAAACAAGAAAATCCCATTCTCAGCTTTAAATACTGATAAAAAATTTTAATAAAACAATATAAACCTGAACTGGATATAGGCAGAAATCCTATGTACTAAAACTAAGCAAAAGAAAACCCATAAAAGAGGACAAAAACAGTTGACAAAACATTAAGAAAGAAAAACAGAACAAACATAGGCTAGCTGAATCTCTTCACAAAAAAATTTAATCGTTTAAGAAGAGCAACATAATTTAAATAAGCAAGACTTCAATACCTTCTCAAAAAGGAATCACAAAAGCATAAAAACGAAAAGAAGAATAATGTTAAGGAGAAAATCAGTAGAATACCTGAAATCCCGAATGCTGATTTTCTGCTTTGAGAATGGGGATTGAAAGGGGAGCTTTTGCTTTTATTGTAAAGGAGAAGACTATGAAGACGAGGCTTTGAAGGCACTCAATGTATTTTTAAATACAAATAAATAAATATTTAGGGCTTTCCGGCTTTGCCTTCATCGGTCGTACAAAACCGCAAAACGCAGCGTTTTGGTCAAAACGACCAAAACATTTTTTAAAATTTTATTTTATAAACACCTTTTTTCTCGTGAACGAAAAGCATAACCCAAATTTTCAGCTTAGGTGATTGAAATTTTTGATTAACTTGATAAAAGGTTAGGTTTTTTTTTCCTTAAAATTTTCTTCTTTAGCAGCTCTAAATTATTAGATAATATTAAGAATACCCTTTCAATTTGTGGGTTCTGTTCGAATTTCTTTTTAATAATAATTTAGAAGCAATTTCTTATTTTGATTCTTAATAATGCCATCGTGATTTTTTTTTTTTTAAGTTGGAATATCTGTCAAAGTCTCCTTCAAAATAAAGGATTTTCAATTTTGTTTGGTTGATTTTGGATGCAGGGAGCGAAAAAAATGGTTCCTTTATTTTTATCTGAGCCAAACTGGGATGATGAAGCTGGTGATAATGAAACTGCCCATCAGATAATATCGCTTTTAAATCAATTGGGTTCAGTTATTTGGTCACTGATGATCTCTGGAGGTCGTTCTGAGGCTCGGCTATGGCTTTGCAATGCCGTTTCGAGCATAAGTTCCATTTCTCCTCACCAACAGAGAGAGATTTTTATGAAGCTGTTGACATCCAAGCCAACAAGAAGGGGTTTAGCATCTCAACTGTTGCAATTGGTTTTTGAGAAGAGGCCAAGAAAAGCTGGCTCTATCTTGGCCAACAAAAGTTACTTGCTTGAAAAGTTTTTCCAAGGCAAGTTGGTTTTCCTTTCCTTTTCTTTTTTTTTTTTTTTTTGATGGTTTGTTTGGTATGTTTTGTTTATTTTTTGTTGCTTTGTTATTTTCTTTAAAGGTGAATTTCATCCTGTAGAATGGAAAGTAATAGTAGCTACAGCCAACTTCCTTAAGCTCCATGTTTTAGATTAGTTTAAGTACTGTTTATGCATTCTTTTCTCCAATGAATGAAATTTTGTGTTTCTCAATTGCATAATGATTTTTATTAACCATTCTACTGAAATTTAGAAGTTGAGATTACTTTGAATATTATGGTTTTCCCCTAAGTTGGTTCAATTAGTATGTTTTGTGTGATTTTGTTGTACCTATGCCCTTTGTGAAATTGGATTTCATTCAATAAAATGCTATCTAATTGGTAGCTCCCACATAATTCGTTAATCAACGCATGTATTTAGCTTGTTCAAGAACGTTAAAGTACCATAGTTACGCATGTCAGGTTGAAATTAGTGTGAATTTTTATGGTCTTCTGATTATTAATCTAATAATGAATGAATCATGCAGGGAACCCAAAGCGAATAATGCAATGGTTCGCTAATTTTGGAGATGGAGGTGGATTGGAGCACAAAAAAGGTGCAAAGGCATTGTCTCAATTTGCTTTTGTAAATCGGGATATCTGTTGGGAGGAGCTTGAGTGGAAGGGAAAGCATGGGCAATCACCTGCAATGGTTGCAACAAAGCCTCATTACTTTCTTGACTTAGATGTCCAACGAACAGTGGAAAATTTCCTTGAAAATGTGCCTGAATTTTGGTCATCCAGTGAGTTTGCTGAGTCACTAAAAGATGGTGAGATTCTATTCATGGATACGAAGTTCTTTGTGGAACTTTTTGTTGAGTTAATATATAAGGAGGATTTAAGAGATTTATGGGAAGTCATAAGTGAGTTTCTTAAGGAGGAATCGTTCTCATCATTGTGCCATCACCTTCTTATCTCTCTTGAGGAGGGTGAATTCTGCATCTTTCTGGAATTGCTTCGTAGATATATCAATCCAAGGATGGAACCTAAGAATTTTGGTAATCCATCTTACCTCCTGGAGTTTATACTTTATAAGTGTGGTGATTCTAAATCTTTTGAGAAGCTACTTCTGTTTAATGCTATTATCAATGAAAGGAGACAGCTTCTTCGGCTTGTAGATGATGAAGAGTGTCAGGATGAAAATGAGCAGGTCAAAGATATTGTATCACAGATGTGCAAACTCTCCACTAGTGCGAATACTTTGACTTCAATCCTTAAGGAGTGCTTCAAAACAAAAACCATAGAAGCAATGAAATTGTTAGGGCTCTATTCTTGGGTTATTTATTACAGATTGTCAAAGGAATGCCATATGCTGGGATCCTGGGAATCTATATTTGTGAGTAATGGGATAAGTTACCACAGATCTGATAAATATTCTATACTTCATCATGAAGGCTCTGTAGAAGAAAGTGATTCTGCAGAAGATGATAGAGCGACAATTAAGCGTAGAAAGAAAAAGAAAAGCAAAAAGAAGCGAAAAAGGGACTTTGATCATGATGATAGCTATGACAATGGGCTGCTGGATTTTGATACTTCAGATAGCATGTTGGGGTTACAATCTGGCGGTGGAAGTTGGTTGCTATCTATTGATGATTTTTCTACATCATGGACTAATGTGAGTTCTTTACCCTTATCGTTATATGTGTTGTTAAACTTTTCATTGCAATGGAAGTGGTTGCAACTTTGCTTTTGAAATTGTACATGTTCTACTAAGTTAATGTGGTGAGGAATGTTCATGACATGCCGAGATATTCTCATAAATCTAGTGAACAAGCCATTTTTGGTAGGACATATTAAGTTTGGACCACAAGTGCTACGTAAAGAAGCATTTATCACTCCTACTGCATGAACCCAAAATGAATAACAAGGAAGAAAAAAGGAACTTGGGTTCTTTTACTTTTTTATTTCGATAAAATCTATATAATATGTCTAGTTTTTCCCCAAATTAGTTGATTCCAGAGAATGGTTATTACTATTTAACGCAGAGAATAATCATTTTAGTTATGAAGTTCTCTGTCACATTCTATGTTAGTGTTTCACCTTCTTTGGTACTGGTTTTTTGAGATGCAAGTTAAATTAAAATTCCTTATTTCTTTCCTCCTTTCACATTATATAAAAGAACTTGTAGAAAATTACGTTAGAAATAAAAATCTAGGAAATGTGAATGTTTATTGCTCTGTCAGAATCCTTTTAAAAGAAGGGGAAGTAGAACATTTAATTATGTAGGGGACAGAAGTATTTTCAAGCTGTCATTTTCATTCTTGTCTTTACTTTTTTTTTTTTTTTTGGTTATTGAACCTTGTTGACTCATCTGGTGGTTTTTTGATCATAACATTGCGATGATTGTAGGTCGATTTACCAGAGCACCTTTCAAATTACTGCTTGTCTACATGGATTAAGTGGCTTTTTTCCAAATGGAGTAACGTTGCTAATGCTTGGTAGGAGAGCACATCCCTTCTTTGTTATGTAATGTCTTTTATTTGTGAAGCTTATAGATGTGTGCCTTTATAATCAGACAGATATTACTATTCCCTGTCTAAAGCCCTGATTGAGAGCACTTAGCCGAGCAATGGGAGGGGCTCCCCACTTCACTTGTCCTCTGATTTTTCAATGGACCCATACCATGTTCTCAGACAGGCACTAAAACAGTGATCTTTTATATATGTACAAAAGCAGGAAAGCACAGCCAGGTTTTAGTGTTGATGGTTATTCCTAACATATTCTGTATGTACAAATTTTCCAGATGGTTGACAAGTTTGTTTATTTGAAGATTGAAGTCTTCATCTGATGGTGTATTTTTGTGGTTTCAACTGATAAAGGATTTGTGCAATGGTGTGTTGCATTTTATTGAGCTACAAATTTACCCTGGACTCAGCTTTGAAATTTGACTATTTTGTTGGCTGATTGGGAAACTTTTGTTGACTAATATTGATTTTGATTTGCAGGCTAATTTGATATCGCTGATGGAACCTCACTGTGGGGTTTAGTTATTGCCATTTTCTCTTGAAAGGTATCATATAAAGCTTAATTTCTTCCTTCAAGTTTATGCATGCTAGGCTTTTGATGATTGCAAATACCTAGAATTTTTACAAGGTTGAATGACCTTAAACAAGCTTGCAAGACAATAAAAATTATTCATTTTAGTTGAAAGTATTTTCCTTGTGCGTTGGAACGGGATAGCAGAGTAACATAACTAGGATTGGGGAAGTTGAGATTTGAAGAACAAATGATATCTTATGGGAGCTTTCTGAAGCACTTGGCTTGAGCAGTGAAGTTGGTGCTTCTATAGATCATCAAAAAACACTTGCATTTCCTTCTGATGTTTTTCCTCGGCTAGGGCTCAAAAGCCTTTACTGATGTTAACGTTTCGTATGCTGCAGTGAATTTCAATACCCACCAGTGTCTTTTCATCCTTGTTAGGCAAAACAAAAAATGCCCGTTGAGCTTTCAAGTTTCAACAGCCAAGAAATAAAAGCCGTTTTAACATTCAAGTTTTTTCAGCTTGATCTGGAGAGCTCGTTTTCTCTGTGTCGTTTCATGCCTACTTTGGTTCTTTTACAGGATGAAAATGTCTACTGGTGCTTTCACAGCAACTAGAATAGGGAATATCTCTTTCTTTTCTAAAACTTTGCAATGGACACGATGATTAAATAAAACAAGTTGAAGAGTTTTAATGGAGTAACCCGAATCTAGCCCTGTACAAATCATTATCTAATTGAAATGTGTTACATTATTGATTTAGAAACTTCAGTCCAAATTTTACAGAGCTTCATCATCAGAAATCCATTCAATATCAGTTTCAGATTCATTGCTCCCTGCAAGGAACGAAAAAAAAAAAGGCGATAAGTGCTTCCAATGACATCCGAGGAAAGAGCCGATTTTTTTAGGGCCATAAATCTTGTTATGGTAGGTTTGAGCAAAAAATCATTGTCGCAGTCTATTGCATTCGTATTCCTCAGAACGAACGACAAAGTCCCACGAAATTTTATGTTTTCCTCTAGTGTTACTGGGCCTTAAACAAGCTATATAGGCAGTAATGTAACAAAGAAACTTACCCAACGCCACATATGCTGGCAAGCTAACATACTTTGGACATGAGGTCTTGGAAGCCAAACAGTTCCGAGGCTGTAACAGGAATAAATAAGTTCAACACAAGCATCAATTCTATGATAGAAGGAGAAGTTTACTATAGATATGGATGTCATCAGACGATGAAGATGCTTCTGCATACTCAAGAAATCGTGTTAGATATAGGCTTTTTGCTAATCCATATCAAAGGTCCTGATGATGATCAAATCAGTTGCTCTCTTTCAGTTGGATAAAAGTGAGGTTTTTTAGTAGGAAACTCAGAGATCAACACTAGCCTTCTTTAGTAACAACTTTTTTTTTTTTTTTTTGTGATTTATTGTCTTGCAGACGGATGACAGATTCTTCCTAGCTAAAGGTAGAATCCAAGCCAAGAACAAATACTGTAAACGGTTGAGTATATCAACTGTGAATTACATGGGGATATAAAGCTTATAAACAAATGACACAAATTGTGACGAGCGAGTGGACCGAATCTAACCTTGAAATCCTTATAGAAGCACAAACGAATTTCCTCCACGGAATCTTTTGAACAAACAACCTCTGGTGTTGCCCGGAAAGAATTCTCAATGGCAGAGACAATGCCTCCAAGAGGATATCTTTCGCTATTAGAAGGAACATATCCAGCTTCATTCAGTATTTTCTGGCATCAAATGGTTGTGCAAGAGAATGATCAGTCAAACTGATAAACAGATAAAACAACATATTATTTCCAATATTAAGTAATCTGAAATATGATTCCAATATAAAATCTTTTACTAACAAACTACAACAAAAAAGTATGACAGAATCAACTTTACTCTGCAAAAGTCATAGGCTTTGAAAGAAGAAATTAGTAATATATTCATTAGTCTTTTAGATACAAAACAGAAGGTAAACCAAGAAGGCTAGGGCTGCTAGGCAAGGCAACAGAGTACCAAATGAATGGCATATGCAGCAATCACAATAATGGAGTTAATTATTTTTGTAATCTGTTAAAATTGGTCGGCAGATATATTTTCCATGCAAGTAGATGGCTAATTGGAGTTTAAACTTCAATAATTTTCATATTAGAGACAGCTCAGTAATATTCAATTCCCTTGTCTTCCAAACCCAATGTAGTTGTGGTTTAGATGGAGCCACATGATACAGGCTAGCAAACCTTACAAAAGCCAATTTCATAAAAGTACACCTTCATATCAGTCTTGATCTTTCAATAATAATTTATGCTCCTTTGGCAAATCTGATTAAACAATTTGCTCACAAAACTGAACTTGATATTCTGGGCAAATACCTAGTCACTTTAACAACAAAGTATGTTCCAGTAGTATAAAGGTTATATTTTGAAGTATGAAATAAGTAATAACTCTTTTTAGAAGAACCAAGCAGCCCCTTGGAGAATCTTAAAAGAACCTACAGATTCATGCCTCAGTTGAAGCGCTAAATAACTTGCTCAGAGTGGCAGAGATGCAGCTTACTCTTTCACTAACAAAACTATCCCAGCAATAGATCATTTAGGGCTGGAAACCAAACACATGCAACATAGAACATGGGCATAAAAGCAAAGACAAACTTTTTTTTCTTAGTTAGCATTCAATTATCAAGAATTCAGAAAAATTAATGAACTTCAACATCATCTCATACTTTTGGCTACTTAATGGGAATATGCGTTGACCACAATAAGAATGTAAGAACAATTGGTAATATATTTTGGCTTTCTGGATAAAACTTTATTCCTAAAAAAAGAGTTACATGCACATACCAACTCATGATGATGAATTTTTAAGGCACAAACTGAACAACGGAAAAACATAGGGTTGTTTCAGGATGTACAAGATTAAACAAGCTATTCTAAAACTTACTGTGACATTGTATTTGAAGTAAACATTAAGGGTTGTTAAAAAGTAGCTGTATTCATCTCGAATTACTGGAAAGGAGCAAGTTCCATGCTTCTCTGCGAGTGAAAATGCAATAATTATAAGCAGCAAATTTACACTCTTCTCTCTAAATTTTATGCTTGCAAGTGCGTGTTCAACAAAATTTAATCAAAATTATTGGCTGATGTATTCCTTATTAAAGCAGCACATGTGCAAGGTTACCACCAAAGTTTGATGCATGGAGCCAGGTAAATATATATAAATAAAAGATCATCATGCCTTAGGGAATTTCACATTCCACTCTTGTTTCAAAGGAAATATATCTTGCAATTCATTCACTGAACACAACCCTTTAATATATTACATCACAGTAGCTATCTAAAGGATCATATACGTAGACATGATACCAATAAGGAATTATTATTGTGATAGGATGAAAGGTATCATAAATCTCACTTGTTATTATCTAAAATATCCCAAATCCAATCTCCAAATCATAAATCACAAGAGAATCCACTATGTCTCATCATAAAACATGGTAATTGGCTTTCATCTTTTTATTAAAGCTTCATGTTCATTCACATATCCAATTATCAGTCTCAACAGCCCTATGAAAAGCAAAGGAAGCAACCTAGGTCATTAAAAATGTGGTCAACTACTAGGCACTGCATTCCTTTTATTTTCCTTTCATAATTTTTGGTCCATGGTTGGCATCTCAATGTTCGGTAACATATTTTCCCTTCACCCATCTGGTTTGCTTAGGCTTGAACCTATGACATATAACATGCCATGCATTTTATATGGTAAGAACTGTCAATAAGTACTGGCATTCACGTGACTTTAGAATTGCACTAAAATAAGCTATTTTAAAGAGGGTTCAGATGTACAGCATGCACATAATCTCATTAGTTATTATCACTACTAATATCTTACACTTCCTTTCCAATTTAAATAGAGGAACATCTATAAAATGAACACGAGATATAAATCATATCATGTGACAAAAAAAGCTGAAGATACTTACCCCACTATCAACGAGCATCCCCCATGTCAGCCATCAAAGAGACAAGAATGAAGCAATTATTAGTTTTGTGCCATTGAGGAAGGGGATCATTTAGCAACATATAGAGATATAGAACTAATATCCACCTCATGAGCCCAAAATAACCCTTTTCCACTGAAGCAAGTTGATGATTTGCTACAATATAAGGATGGCCAATACTTCTCAAGCGCGTCCATCAATGTTGAGATCTACAGGCATTTAGCAACAAAGATCAGGCACCAAAGCCAATTGATGTGACACATGTGCTGAATCAAATACACTGAACAACAAGTAGAAATATATATTTAATGTCGGGAACTGGTAGAATGAAAACATGTGCCAATATAACGGCTTTTAAAATTTTGACTTCAACATTTTCCAGAAATCAAGCCAACTTTTGAAGTTGCAAATAAACCAAGATAGGATCTTGTGCTATAAACTTCTAAGAGATCTCTAAGCTATAGATATCTTAAAAATAAAAAGAAGAAACTATACTATTGAACTGAATACTTATACCAATGACATAGTATCACAAGGTGTCACTTATATCATCAGCACATGCTCGGTATACGTGGGTGCCAGATTCCAAGCTGCATTAGAAGAGCTAATAAAGAAAAAGTTGCTGTGCAGGCTTTAAAGTATCTTTATACGCAAGCTGATTTTACAAAATACAAAAGTTCTAAGGGCATAAACGCCACTTCGAATGCACTAATCAAACAAGTTTCGGAAGGATGTAATTGCAACCTCTTTGACATCAAACTGAGATCGGAAACAACAGGAGGGCCAGGTTCCATCATTATAATCCGGCCATAATCCATCTACCAAGCAGATAAAGTTAACATCAAAATCATACAGTTATACCTTCAATATACCAAAATAACTGTAATTATGTTCATAGTCAAACACTTACGAATGGTAAATTCAGTTGGAGAATTCGAGCTGTAAGGAAAAAAAAAAAAGAAAGTACATCATGAAATTGGCCTCAAACAATTTTTGAAAAAATTGACTGATTTACCCTCGGCAGCAGCCATTTGAGGAGCAACAATGGCGAGTTCGGTGGCAGATGGTGCCAGGCCATTGAAGAGACAAAGCGAAGTAATCGAACTCTCTCTGAACTCCTTCTACGCTTCCATTGACGCCAATCATCGAACAGGTAGCCACCATTAAGGTGATGCAGAGTAGGATTTGAGCAGAGAGTGACGCCATTGTCTTTAGCTTTTTTAGTTCCTAGAAAGTTGCCTTTATAGAAGGAAAGGAAGTGGGTACTGGGTTGCTGAGGGAAGGATAGACTTGTCATTTTACCATTGTTGCTTTAACGGACAAACCAGATGCAATAATTGAATCTTGAAAGGGATATGCTTTTGCTTGGGTATCGGTTTGGACAATTCTCTTTTTTCATTGGCCAATGCTACACAAAAATTCTGCCAATAGTAACCCATAAGAATTTGACAAATTTTATTACAAAATTTTCTTTTATGTTTTTTGTAACTACATTAGTGCTTGTCTGCTTAGATATTCTATATAGCACATCTATACTGAAAAATCATTTACAAAAATAAATTTATTATTCATAAAAATAATAAATTTATTATACTAATTCATAAAAAATTAATTCTTTTTTCACTAAAATAAATTTTATGTTTATTATTTTTTACTCATTTGTTTTTAATATTATAAATTTATTTTTATTTTTATCTATTTAATATTAAAATTTTATATTTTATAATATTGATGTACAATACTTTTTAATGTTTAAATATAAAAAATAAAATATTGACTCAAAATATTAAAAATATAGGAGCATTAGGTCTTTAAAATAAATATATATTCATTTTGAAAAAAAAAAATGAACAAAGAAATGAAATGGACAAATAATATTAATAGCAATGGGGTAATTTTTTTAATTATCTTCCAAAATGGAGTAGCTGAATTATTTTTATTTGATTTTTTTAATTGTTTAGGCACTAATAATTAAACAATAATAAATTAAAAGATTGAATGCCAAACCAAAAGAAAAAGAAAAAATAAAGGAGGTTATGAACTAAGATTTATTTAATCACAAATATCCAATAATTTCTTTTGGCCTCATTTTCCTTTTTTCTTATAACTTACAGGACAATTTTTGGTAGAGAATAAACGTAAAAGAATGAAAGGGGTGGATATAAAAATAAAAAATTATATTTTTTGTACTTTGTAAGATAAAACAAAATGAGAGAAAATTTTTTTAAAATTTTATTTTCTATTTTTATTTACAAAACGAAAACAAAATTTTCTAAATTGAAAAAATAAGATAAAAGAAAATAAGAGATGTAAATCAAGTGTGTAAGTTTACAAAATTTTCTATCATTTGTTAAATTTTATGGTTTTATTTTAACTTATAATGATAAAATAACATTATTTTTATTTTATTTTATCTATTTTTTTTAACTCTATCAAACAATGAATATTTTTTTATTTTTTGTCTTTCACACCAAGCATACAAATAAAAAGAAAAAAATTATTTTTCCATATTTTTACTTTAGTTAAAGGATATAAAAAACTTCTGAATTATAATTAAAAATTATTTAATTTTTTATTTTTTATTGTAATCAATAAACATTTTTAATATTTATTTGCATCTAATTATGTTTTTATTAAAAGTTAACATCGTGATTTTTTTTTTATTAATTAGGATAAAATTTCAAGTGACATTAATAAAATAGATGAATATTTGTCACATTTGTAGTTAATATGTATGAAAATAAAATAAAATAAGAATTTTTCTCTATTTTCTCTTACTCTCTCATTTTATGATCATCTAAGTGTTTAATTGATTGTAATTTAAAGATTGATTGATTAAATTTTGTCAATTTAAAAATTTAATTAAGTCAAAATATAATATTATAGATATAATTGATTGTAATAAAAATATTAAAAATTTTAATAGTTATTGAATTATAATTAAAATGTATTTTTTACACTTTAACCTTTAGCTTTTCATTCCTTATAAATTTCTATCTTGTCAACTTTTTATCCACTCAATGACTTCATTTGTTATGATAGATTTAAAAAAAAAAATTGAAAAAGACAAAAAATTGAAATGATAAGTAAAAAGATGAAATATAAATTCATTGGTATGTTTGGTAACAAATAAAAAATAAAAAATTATATATAAAATTTCTATTCATTACTTATATAAAAAAAATAAAAAAATTTTATTATTCGCGATTTAACGTGTGTTTGTCTAGGAAGATTTGTGCATGCAGGTGGAATGATCGATACTCTCACTGTTGAACTTTGGATATTAGTATTACGGTTATGATCTTAAGCTATTTTGAGATAAGAGCTTTCGTTTTGTTACTTGAGAATTTGATTGGACATTGAGAATGTTGAAAATTCGAAAGAATCGCTGTCATTTTAGTTATTATTATATATAATCAAGGCCAATTTTTTTTTTAAAAAAATTTAAACTAAAATTAAATAATCATAAAAATTTTTATATTTTATTATAATTAATTGAATATTTAAATATTTACTTTTCATCAATTAAAATTTCATTATTCAAAGAGTTTTCATTATTTCATCTAAAGGTGATAAATGCATTTTCAACTAAATTTATGATGAATATTTTTTAAAATCATTTTACTTAAAATTTATTTATTTTTATATTTAGTTTTAAATTATTAAAATTTAACCATAAGTTTAATTAAAAATTAATTTATCATCTTTAAATAACATAGTAAAAATTTTAACTGATTTTTAAATAATAAAGATGATCCTTTCCCTACCCGGAGTATATTCAAAGATTGGATTTGTAAAAATCACCATGTTCTTCGTGAAGCAAAATTTCATTTAAATTGGATAGCATTTTATCGGAGTCCATAAGCCACCAGGCTTCTAAGAAACTATTAGAACCAAATTTTTTTTTTTTATTATAGAAAGTTTAATGATAGTAATAACGCCTGTTTTCCTAAGTTAGTTTGTTAGTAGATGAATAAACTCTTCTGTACAAATATATTGATTTATTATTATAATTATAAAATATGATAAATAATTTTATAAATATACAACATTTTATTATTATTATTTATTTATTTTCAATTTAAAATGATTTATTTTTTTAAAAAAGGTTAAAAATAATTATTTTTAGTTTCTTTCATCTAAAATTTTTATTTACAAGTACATCCAATTTTTTTTCTATTTTTTCGTCCTTCATCTTTTCATTTTTTTACTTGACTAAATTGGAGATGTAACGTATTTGAATAAAATTATGTTAAATACTAAAATAAATATAATAAAAAATTACTTAATTATTCTGATATTAACTCAGCACCAAATTAGGATTAAATTTCAAATATTACTATATATTTTTTAAAAATTAAGCGAAAGAAATGGAGTATAGATTAAAATTTAAAAGGAAAAAGAAAAAATTTTCCTCCCACTTTTTGGTTTGGGTCCCGCGTCCGTGCGAGTGAGTTGAGACAAACATCGGCAAGGGCGTTGAATCACCCGACGCTATTCGACCACCAAAAGGTCAAAAAAAAAAAAAAAAAACCAAAGTAAATAAACACCCCGAGGCCCAGCGACGCTACGGACCCGAAGCCTGGGTGAGGTAAAAATAAGAAAAAAAAAAAACGAATAATCGTTAGTCTTCGTTGTTCGTCCCCTTACAAACCCTAAAAAAAGTACAACTTTCTTCCTTTGCCAGCTACGGAACTCTCTCGAACTTCCTCTGATCTACCGACTCTACCCGTCCACTCTCTTCACTCACTCTCCAATTCCAACCTTTTTCGCTCTCTTTATTTCACTGGTCAATTTCTCCATCATTCCCTTTCTTTTTCATTTATTGTGTTTTAATATTTTGCTTGGTTTTGATTTTTTTTTGAATTTGTTATATGTTTCGTAGGTTTTCTTTTACTTGTAGTGCAGCGTGAGGACTGAGTTGAATAGAAGAAGAGAAAGGAGCTTGAATTTTTTTGTGCTTTGCCTTCTAGTGATCTGAAAAGGTACCTCAGCGGCTTTGTGCGAATCCATATTGGAGGTATTCTTGATTCCTTTTTACGTTTGTTGTTGTTTGTAGTTGAATCCATATCGGAGGTATTCTTGATTCCTTTTTACGTTTCTTGTTGTTTGTAGTTGAATTATTTTAATGATAAATTATGATGTTTTCCCCCTAATTCTTCTTTGTTTATAGAATTGGTAATTTTTCCGGCAGTGTTCTTTATGTTTATTTTTTATTTTCTCGGAAATTTGTATAAATATGAAGATCCCGAGGAGAAAATTAGCGGAAATGAGATATTGAAAAGAAATTTTGAGCAAATTAATTTAAGTTTGTAATTTTTGGTGTTGTTACATGTACAATATTAGCTGGTTATGTGAAAATAAAGAAGCATAGATAAAGGTTCTTGCTTTTAGTGGTTAAAGCGGATTTAGTAGCAAAATTAGAGATGACTAATTAAACCTTTTACAATTTAAAATAAACTGAAACTATGTGGAGATAAAGTATTCCATATGTGGCTAATTTCAATTTCTCAGTGCAATGAAAGATTCATCGCCTGGGAACCTTTGTAATTTACCATTAGCAAGGAATTTGGAATTTATTTTTAGAGTAAAATATGCTATTAATTGGCATACTTGGGAAATTAATACTATGGTCTTCTCATAAAATTTAACTGGGGAAATACAGTTTTTGAAGTTAGTGGGTCGGTGCCTTCTACTAAATTCACCTATAAACCTGTGTTTAGTTTTCTGTTTGAGTTTAATGTAAATCTTAATCCAGGTTAGCAACCATTTTGCTTTTTTTTTTAATTTGAAATGAAGGGGTTATTTGGTTACCACGTTGGCCTTTATCAGTTTTACTTGATGTATCATTTGCCCAACTGTGCATTATGTCAACCATTAAATTATTGAAATACAAGGACGGAATGGATCTCCTTCCTTCTTCATTCACAAGACACTAGTTGTCTGGTAGAAGATTTCCTAGTCTTACCCAAACTGTGTCTATCTAAATAGGCCTTCCCAAGGCAGCTTTCTCCTGACTCCACCTTGCAGTGACCAATTTGAAGATTCCTTTCCCTTAACTGCTCTATCCTCATCAGATACCCATATAAATGCAGAATACATATTTCCATATTGATTTTGGATGGAGTTGATGATGCTTTGCAGCAATCAATCTTGATCCTGCAAGCTTTATATGAATCTAGACCTCTTTAATCTACATCCTGCATTTTGAAGCAAACTTTGGCTGCACATGTGCGTTTCCTTGGATTTTGTTCCTTGTTTGATCTGTACCAGTTGAAGAAAATTATGATTGAGAACAATATATATGCTGTAACAAAATTGTTTTATCTTTTGGTTCTAGTGATATAATTGTTTGAATATAAATAAAATTGTAAGAAAGATGAGGACAAAGAAATAGATTGCTACATTGGAGAAGTCGTATATTTGATGTGAAAGTTGGCTATGAGACTTAAAAGTTGTAAGATGCTAGTTTTGCACATAAGCAACAAAAGGTGAACAAATTGGAAAAAATGATGTACAGTGTGCTTACTATAGGTATTTATGCATTTTTAATTATAAAATGTTAGAATTGGCCTTTTTACACTATATGACAGGCCTGTGATGGTTATGTTTTAACTTACCGAAGATCTACTTGAAACTTTGTTTACCCTTATAGATGTTTTGACTTGATATTCATGGATGTTTTCCTGGACTTTGGCAACGAAATTGCAGTTGATGATGATACATATTTCATGAATCATTAACTCATGGATCCTGAAGGCAAGAAATTTGGAAGAGGTACTATATGTTTAGAATGTTGGTTTATTATTGTACTTTGTTGTTCTCATTGCATTTGTTTGGCTGAGATAGGGCTTTGGATCTGCTATTAGGTTTTTATTGATTATAATACTCTTCACTAGTGAATCATTTGTATTATGATGATTGTACTTAATTTTCTTCTAAGTTTAGCCTGTCATATGCCATACATCAGCAGATATTGAAAAAGTTAGACCAACAGTCATCCTCTCTTCTACCTGAATGAGAAAACTGCCAATCCAAGGATAGGAATTGAGAATCTTGAATGTTCTAGGTGGCCATGTCTGACCATGTTGAGTTCTAGCTTTTTAAGGTTAATGCTATCATTCATGGTGCTAACAACTAATTGAATTTGTCTTAGCCATATTGTTGTGATGTAGTGAGGAGGTAGAAACAATAAAAAGAAAACCAAAACAATGAAAAAAAACCAGAACAGAGACTAAAATTGATGTAAATTTGAAGCTGGAACAATGAAACTAGGGTTGAGAGTTGTAGAACCTCTAACTATAATATCCAAGTAGGGTTAATGTTATGAATGATCCCTAAACTATAATGAAATGTTCAATGTGATGTTGGAACGTTAAAAATGTCTAATGTGGTACATGAACTATAAATTTGTTAACTAGTATGCTACTCACTCCTAATGTGGCTAGCTTCAAATGATGACATGTGGCAGACGACCAACCCTCCAAGTACCACATTAGTTAGTAAATTCATAATTTAGGTACACATTTGAGATTTTTTAAGTTCAAGTATCACATTTAATATTTCACTATAGTTTAGGGGCCATTCGTGACATTAACCCTATTCAAGTATAATAAGGTTGCCTGATTTGTCTAAAAGACTATTTATACTAGAGTTCCTGCATTAATTGTAGCCCTTTCAAATGTTATATGCGTGTGCATTTGTTTTTTTTAGCTTAGGCCTTAAGTCTTTTATTTCCTGTGAGTCTCCTTTTTCCTTTTCACCATTTATGTGCATATCTGTGGCACAGACTAAGACCTGAGAGTATGCCAATACTTCTGTAAGCTTAAGTAAAAATATGTCAAGTTTTACTGATAAAGTTTCTGGACTATATGTTTTTCCCATAAGAGGAAATAATGATATTGCTTTGATATCAGTTGGTATCATTATGATGTTGCACTATCATCCCCTGTTCTATATTGTATCATTCTAATGATGGGTTTTTTGCATGGTTACATCATTTCATGTCTGTCATTTATTTACACCTAAAATGATCTATTTTATAATTTTTTTAAGGTTTAAAACCATCCTCATAAAAGAATATTAGAATATTTCACTAATAAAATCATTTCATTTCTATAACTTACCTCAACAAATAATTACCCTACATCAACATAAGACCATGTGCTATCTAATACTTGCTAACTGAGTTACTCAAATGATGCAAAAGTCACACATGATGCATGTTGCATACACAGTATTACTCACAGAAAATCCATAGGCTATCTGACAATTGGTTCTGATTCAGTATAACATTTGAAATTTTTGGATTGAAAATTTCAGAGTCAATCATAATTTCATGTAAAGTTATTTGGTGTTGCTTTTATTATTTTTGTTCTTAACTGACGAGAAACTGTTTATACAAATAAATTTAGGACCAAGGGAACTTAGTGGTGCTGTTGATCTTATAAGTCACTATAAGTTGTTACCTCACCATGACTTCTTCTGCAAGAGGTGTCTTCCTTTATCCATTTCAGACACACATTATCTTCATAATGTCGTGGGAGACACTGAAATTAGAAAAGGAGAAGGGATGCAGCTGGACCAGCTTATTCAGAATACATCCCATAACAGAGACACTAATGCCCGCATACAGCCTTTTGGCCTTGATATTCTTAAGGAGGCTTTCCAGCTGAGAGAAACCACTCCGGTTGAATTGCCAGCAGTAAGAAATTTACTGCTTTGAGATTAGCTTTATTTAAGTTTCTTAAGTTTCTTAAGCTAAATTGCAGTCCAAGACATTATGCCATTGTTTAGTAAATCTGTAAAAATTTAATGGTCGTATGGTGTTTACTCTTATTCTTAACAAGTTTTTTCTTCCATAGTCATCATTTCAGTTGTAGTTCTTAATCATTTGTTTATTTCATAGAGTGAAAAAGGGATTCCTACAATTGCTGGGAAGTCAAAGAGTGAAGCCAAAGATAAGGAGAGGAAGCATAAAAAGCACAAAGACAGAGATAAGGACAAGGATAAAGAGCATAAGAAGCACAAGCACCGTCATAAAGATAAAGATCGAAGTAAAGATAAAGACAAGGAAAAAAAGAAGGATAGAAGTGGGCATCATGATTCTGGTGCTGATCACTCGAAAAAGCACCATGAAAAGGTCGGAAGTTTGTTACCTGTTGCAGCTATTGCTTGATTACTTGTTTGGCCTTGAGTATAGTGGAAGGATTGTTAATGTCATTTTTAGCATGGCTATGATGCTTTACCCAAGGACATAAAAACCAATCTGCTAATTTGTCCATTCCTTGTTCAAGAGCAACATTGTTTCTTTTAACTGATGCATGAGATATTTTCTTTTGAATAGTAAAAAAAGCAATTCTGCTGATGCCAGGAGTAGAATTACTGTTGTAGTGTTGTCTGTGTCCCTGCACAAGTTTGCCTTTTCATCTGTCATCAGAAAGTTTATCAAAAAAAAAAAAAATAGTCCCTGTTATTTTAAAATTAAGTTAATTTTTAAATGGAATTCTATTTAAAATTCTTTGTAATTCATATAATTTCAGAAAAGGAAGCATGATGGAGATGAAGATCTTAATGATGTTCACAGACACAAAAAAAGTAAGGTAATGCATATCATTTTTGATTTTGCTCTATTTTGTTGCATTATGAGGATTATCTTTTATATTTGTGATATGCTTAGCATTAACTCTCCATTTCTTTCTGGAGTAGTGCCTGTACATCTTGTCTTCTAACCACTTTTTCTTCTTTCTAATCAAAGTACACAATTAATTTGTTTCAGCATAAAAGCTCAAAAATTGATGAAGTTGGTGCAATTAAAGTAGCAGGCTGAAATGGTGGCTTTATAGTTCATTTGTTGTCTCAGATCGTTGTCTGTGGGAGGGTTTGCTTAATGTTCTGTACATTACTTGAGGTGAATGCCATTTCTTGCTGTTTTATTTATTTCTTATTGTATTTTTCTTGTTCCTCAAAGTAGCATCCAGTTATCCTCTAATAAACAATTATTGAAGTGCTAAAATTTACTGAAACTTATACATGACTATACCCCCTGATCCTTGTTTGATCAAACATTATGTGCTTTATTCTTCTCTCTCACTTAGGCAATCAAGGTACAAAGAAGAAATAATTGTGAACGCTAAATATTTCATTGTCTAAACGGTGGATTAGAACTAGTCTGTTTGCTGCATAATGTTTTAAGTACAGTATTAAAAATTGTCTAAAAATAGAACTCCCAAAGCAATTGTATACATGTAGCTGAGAAACGTGCCTTTATAGAATGTTGTCCTCAGCTTTTTGTCTGTCAAACCTATGTGGCAAGGGTGTTAATGTAGTAGATCTGCTAAATTAGAATTTTTTGGATGTTGCCACACAATCCTGTGGAATGGTATTCTTTTGGCTTCTGTTTAGAAGAAGTTACATGGTTAATTAGTTACAGATTAGAAGAATTTACAGTTCTAGTTTTGAGGACCAAGATTCCAAAGCAAGTGAAAGATTGTATACATGTAGCTGAGAAACGTGCCTTTATAGAATGTTGTCCTCAGCTTTTTGTCTGTCAAACCTATGTGGCAAGGGTGTTAATGTAGTAGATCTGCTAAATTAGAATTTTTTGGATGTTGCCACACAATCCTGTGGAATGGTATTCTTTTGGCTTCTGTTTAGAAGAAGTTACATGGTTAATTAGTTACAGATTAGAAGAATTTACAGTTCTAGTTTTGAGGACCAAGATTCCAAAGCAAGTGAAAGATAGTTGCATTATTAAAACAAATGTTTTCTTCTCACTTGAATTGATATACAGGGGGCATATTCTCTTCATAGGATTGAATTTCGATCCCTCTACCTAACATTCATTATGTCACCTGTTTTCATTTATTTACAAGAAGGGTTTTTTTGGGGTGTTGGGAAAAGGTGTTTAAATGCCAGTCGGGTTTTAAAGGTTCTTACACTCACGCTCTCTCTTGTTTTTGTGCAGAGTAGCTTGTAAACTGACTAAAGAATGTGTAGAAGGTGAATTCACCCATTGATGGATAGTTATTGCAAGGTATAGGTTGCTGAAAATGGACTTTTTTGTATCATAACATTGAGCTAATATAATTGCTAGTAGCATGGAAAGACTTTGACCTTCTTTCATTTTATAATTTTTATAACACGTTGGATGACTCTGCATGTACACATTGTTGTAGTCATCTGTAGTTTTAGAAGTTTAAAAGCCTAGTTCTGAAATCAGTTTTGATTTGGGGTTTGCAGCTTTTGTTTATAGAAAGAATAGGCATATGGGGCTTGTATTATCTCCTTCCCTTTTTGTCTTAACAATGTCTTGACGTCAGCCGGTAAATTTTTAAATCATTAGGTCATCAAAGAAATTGCAAGTTCTGTTTGCTAACCGCTGTTTTTCTCTTCGACTTTATTCGTGTCAAGCATTTTTTTGGTTTAACTTGACAATTCATTCCCTTGTATGCACAAGCATGTTGCATGTTTGGAGGTTTTTTTTTTTTTTTTTTTTTTTTTCATTATTGTTTGTAATAATTTTCCAATTGGCATCTGTCTAACATTGCACAAAATGTTACTTTTAACTCTTTTCTCCAAGTGCATGTTTGTTGTGTAAATGGATTGAACAAGGTTGTGTAACAGAGCAATGCGCATAGCTGGGCGATTTTTATGCTGTCTGGTTTTATAAAAGCTTTATTCCCAAATATTATGGAACTTAAGTTGGGAACTATTTTACCTCTGTTTTCTTGAACTTATATTTTTGGTCTGGGATTATAGATGCAGGGAAGGACAAGGTCTAACCTATGTTTGCAATACCAATCAAGGAAAACCTACTTTTTTTTTTTTTAAAGGAAAGAAACTTACTTAGAGATTAGCTAATCTTTTAAAACCTAATGACGTAGTCTTCTTATGTAATTCCCAATTTTGAGAATTCGTATTTTAAAAGTATAAGAGAATGTAGAAGAAAACTTCCATTTTTTCCATAAATACTGTTTTAGTTTGACATGTTATGGTTAAAATTTTTAATTTTGACTTCATTTTATTTAAATACATTAGTAATTAAAATATGAAAAATATATTTTTTAAAAACATCGAAATGAATAGATATTATATATATATATTTATAAAAAGCCAGATTTTTGGCTAAATATAAAATGTAAGTTTGATAAAATATTTAGAATATCAATAATCAAAATTTAAAAAGTTAAAAAAAAAAAGACAATTTATTAGATTGAGGGTAGCATATATTTTTTGACTCGCATATTAAAAAGGGAATCAGAAGCCCTAAGGTTAGCTATCGCTCAATGTCCAGAGGAGAGGGTGCAAATGTCCACGGTAACTCCAAACTTCCAACCAAAAGATTATTAATTTTTTTTTTTATGTTATGCAAATTGTTGTTATTTCAGGTGCTTAATCGTACAACAATATTCCAACTTTGAGTTGGCTTATATTAGATCTTTTTAACATTTTCTTCTCTTTAAGAATAGATTGCCAAGGAGGGCCAGGACTTAAAAGATTATTAATTTGCTTGGGCTTCATTGTATAACCAACCTTTTAAAGCAACCATTGCCACGTTTTGAATTTATTAAAGGTCATTTAAAATCTTTGTAAATGTTAATCTAATGAGATGGATTCATTAGGAGTGTGTGGAAGTGCTCATTACGCTGCACTATATTCCTTTAAACTTGCTTGCTGTGAGCTATATAATACATAAAAAAATGGAAAGAATAGCTAGATAGCTTGTTAGGTTTGCTCCACTTTACTGCCTTTGATTTTATTTCCCTTCATTATTTTCCAGTACATCCTTTTTAATTTTTGAACAATGATGAAAGTTGTATCTAAAAGTTATGAACCAAAAAAAAAAATAAAAAATCCCAGGGTATATAAAACAGCGTTATCAAATAAAACTAATTTAGTAATTATTATTTGGGAAGTGCCAGTTGTAAAGGAAGCAATCCATTGTATGCTCAAAACTACAAAATGAAACCATACAAGTAACGACAAACAAAATATGGAATCCAAAACAATAGTTAGTGCATTATTATTACCATTATTATGCAAAGAAGTCTAGTTGTTTCCATGTGAAGTGAATTTAGGTCATGAAGGAAAGGGTGCTTCTCCCATCATCAAAAAAATCAATAGTGTGATAAAGTAAAATGGTAAAGAAATCATCATTGGAACAATTAGTTAAGAGGAAAAAAAGGCTTAGATATTCATTTCATATAACTAGTAACAAGTACCTAACGGTAGTTCGAGATAAAATGATTATTGCTCACATCGATCCTTCTTAATTTCCTTATCGGTCTTAAGCTCAAATCATGGTTCTCAAGACCCTATGAATAAGGTATCATTATTTATTTTGGTTGCAATAATGACCCAGATTTATGGTGATGAAAAAGAAAAGAAACAGTTCTCCCAACAATAATTGGGAGCTATTATTATTATTATTATTATTATTATTATTATTATGGTCAAGAGAAATTAATTACATAGGCAAAAAAATTATTATTTAAGTTAATTTATATTTGATACATTATTAATGTGTTGGGTTTATCAAATATTCAAAACAATTTTATAAGTTTTTTCCATTTTTTCCAATCTTAATTGGAGAAGCTATATCAAAATTATTCTAATGCCACCCCGGAAATATGCATGTAATGTTAGTGTTTTAAGTATTAATCTCTCTATCTAAAAGAAACTATATAAAAAAAGAAAATTATTATAAAAGTTAAATCACGATTTGTATATAATATCCATAAACACAAGGACAAATCTTTAAAAAAAAATGTACTGAATAAAATTAAATATTTTCTTGTCGCTTAACAAAAAAAAAATTATTTGTTGAAAAATCTAGTTTGAAAATGTTAATTAAAGTTGCAAATTACAGTTTTGTTATACCATTGAGCAAAAGCATGCATGATATATATATATATATATATATATATATATAGATAGATAGATAGATAGATAGATAGATATGTCTAGCTTGATATTGGATATTCTTTTGCTTTTATAATTGCTCTTCCTTGGTGCCCCTAAAATCAGCATCAACTTTCCCTTTATTCCCCTTTGTTTTTTTCATTTGCTTTTTCCAGACAAATAAAGTTCCCTTTGTTTTTTGAAAGCAAGTGAAAACTGCTACCTCCATATCCCTCTCATATAATTTCCTTGCTTTCTTACATGGTTAAGAATTATGCTATGCATATATGGTACGAACAACAACAAACTTCCTTCCCACTTTCATTAATTTTCCTTTACTTTCTCTTTGTCTTTCTTTTTTAGTAAGCATCCTATAAAGTTTTCTCCCCGCAAAAGCACCGTCCTGCCATAAAAATCTAAGATGCTTGTTTCATAGCTGTTACTCATAGAAGGACAATGGAATTCCCAAACTTCAAAGTTTGAAGACATTGCCACAACTATATATCATCTGAAGTACTCTATATATACAGTACTTTTCCTGTATTTTTTTTTTTTTTAAGATAACAAATTCTTTTATTGATATATGAGGTGTCAGACAATTGTTTGTGTTCGACATGGACACATGATGTTTTTGACAATTTCTTGCATTAATTTTTTGATGATCCAAGTATCATACCGTATTGTATGGAATTTAAAGTGTCTAAGAAGTGTCGAAAACAAGTACATTAGGATAAAATGAAGAGTTTGTGTTATATAATATAATGTAATGTACTAAAAAATTTATTAAGTTTAGTTTTTTTGTTTAATCTTTGTTTTTTTTTTTTTACTTAAACTTATCAAAATTCGAATTTTAATCATTGAAACTAAAAATTCAACACATAAAAAGGCATGAAAGCTTCAATTTAGTAACCAAAAAGTTGGTCTGCCTAAATTGCAGTGTGACTTAATTTTGTTATTAACTACTTAGACAAAACCTTGATAATAATAGTATTAAAGAATTGACCTAATGTGTTAGGTAGCTGCCATGTTCATATATATATATATATATATATATATATATATATATATATATATATGCATAATAATGCATGCTCCCACCAACACCAGTACTCCAAAATTTCTGAATTTTTTTTTTCTCAACCACCAGCTAAATTGCAATAAAACAATGTAAATTTTAGCCTGCCCTAGCTCTTATTGGAAAACAACAATATTATCCACCCTTTTAGTTTGAATATTTACTATTCTTTATGGTGGCTAGTGGATGATTCTTTTTGGTCAAAATCTTGGCAGGTTTCAGCTCTAGCTTTTGCCATCAGGTAGTTGATTAATCACCCAAAAGAAGAGATAGTATCAATTTCATATATATGTGGAAATTTTTTAAATAAAAATAGATTGATATATGAAACCCTAAAATAATTGCCTTGCACGCTTTAATGACTTTTCAAAATCTAATTTCAACTTGTGTTAGGGGAATAAGAGAAAACATAAACTTTCAAAAGCTTTTGGTATTTCCTATATATATATAAATTTAAAAGTCCAAAAGAATGAGGAGAAAGTCACTAAGATTTGAAAAATATATCAGTGTTATAAAAGCTAATGTGGGATCAAAAGGGTTTTTAGAAAAAAAAAAAAATAGGGTGATATCTTAGGCAGTGACAGAATCCTTATAACATATACCCTAGTGGATGCCTAGCAAATTAAAAGATTGATTAGATATAAAGTGGGGGAGCCACCACAAATAGTAATGATCTTTATTCAAGGCAATATCTCACATGATTAGCAAAAAAAAGCACCTCACATGATGCATATATATAGTACAGTTTCACATAAAAAAAGAAGAAGCTAAACCTAAAAATATGTATCTTATGTGTTGGGATTCAACTTTCTTTCGTTTTTTTTTTTTTAATGTATACATCCATTCATATAATTTTGCAATTATGAATGGATTCTAAACACATAAATATCGGTAATTAAAGATAAAATCAATGTAAATCATCTCCTTTAACTTGTTCAATTATATTATAAAAAAAATAAAGTTCATGGGTGAA